CCATGGAAGAAAAGCCTAAAGCCCGGTGAAGCACGTCGATGCATCCTTCGAGGCTGAGATAAGAGACATAATCAGCTCCTCAAAGGAACAATCAGTAGAGGTACCTTGGAGTGGCTGCTGCATCGGGAGTATGGGTTTACTGATTACTGATTTAATAATCGACATCATAGCACACCGGGCATACCCATAGATGCTCTGTCTCCCGCAGCAAATGACGTAAGGTGTAGATGCTAACTGTTCCCCTAGCACACTGATTACACACACACCGATCTCTTCCTCTCATCCGTCCCTCCTTGCCGGATCCACACTTAATACCTCGTTCACACATTCTTGCCCATGTTATTTCATCTAATCTCGTGTCTCATGCCAGGATGGGAACGCATGGAAATGCCTAATGTGCCGTTATAATAACAAAACATTGCACACTCTTTAGAGTGGCGTGGATGCTCCAGTTGCCACTTGGTTCTGTAAGTTGTTTCTTGAACATTTGGTGACCTCGCTTTCCATTTTCAGTCTGCTTCTTTTCCTGTCAACGTATTCGGCGTTTTCCCCTTCTAGGACTGCAGTCTGTAGAGTTGACACCTCCAGGATGAGAACTACACTGGTACACATCCCATAAGCCCCGTTCAACTACAGACACAGCATTCTACAAATATTTTCAGCTGAAAATGGGACATCCCATTAATATTTTGAGTTGAAAACAGGACATCTCAAGCAAGTTAGCTACTATCTGATTGTTTGGCGAATCTGTCCGCTAATTTGATTGCCTTCAAAATAAAAATGCACGTGGTTGCACCAGATGGGTCCAGTAGAAGAAAGGGGGGGGGGGGGGGGTTTGTACAACATGTAGTCTCTTCTGGCAGTGGTGAAATGTTGCAAACTATCTTTGTTCCGGCACATGTTGACACATGATTCGATTTTTTAGACTACACTTCAAGTAACATTGGGGGGTAGTCAAAGAAGAAAGGGACAAAGAAAAACCTAGAATGACAACATCAAGAAATGTAAAGTAAAGTAAAGGACCCTTTCCACGCCTTTAGGCGTATAGGGCATATAGGGCTAGACCTATATTTTTATAGACCAATGGCACAAGATGGGTGATGTGGTCGCCTCTACTTTCCAGGATTGCACCCGGTACCCACTCAAGGCTGGGTCGACCTGGGAGCCAAGGTCATTTTTGAAGAAAAGTCCGTCTCCGCCAGGGAGCGAACCCATCAAGAAATGGATAGGACTAAATTACTATACACATGGTTCAACAAGAGAGAAAGATGGAGGGTTGTATGTGATAGTGCTTCCATCGATACAATTCCATGCCCGAGCCTAAAGGGTCTATGGTTATGTATATACCAGCTGTAGAACAGATGGCAAAGATGACGACACAACAGTAATGCTGTGTAATGTCTAACGAAACTAAATGGGAAGGTTAATATTATCTATATCCTCTTCATGTCACTGTTGACACATAAGGTATTCACAAGTGATCTCCATTGCTGCCGGTCTGCTGCTTTTCTGCCCATGGTACCCCATGTCAGGTTACATTCCTTCATTTCCCGTTCTATTGTCCATCTCCAGGTTTCTTTAGGTCGTCCACGTCTCCTTTTCCCATCTGCTGTCCACCGGAGAGCTGTTTTTGCCAGTGTCACAAGGCATTCTGCAAATATGTCCAAGCCATCTCCATCGTCTTACTGTGATAATATTTGCCAGTGATGCACATTCTGTTTTCCTCCTCAGTTCTTCATTTGTGATCTTGTTTAGCCAAACTTTTTGTAGAATTCTCCTTGAACATTTATTCAGAAAAGGTTAAGCCTGCCGACAAATGCCCGCTGAAGTCAGATGTATTGGCCAAGTGGCATACCTGTTGCAGAAATGTTGTGAACAGGAACAATTATGTCACTCAAAAAACAATGAAGAAGAAGTCAGGAGAAACTTTTGGAGTTTGACTTTTTCCAAAAAGTGCTGCTTTTACCTTCGCTAATTTTGAACTGATTTTGCTCTCCAGAGTTGCAACAATTGACATCACAACTGCTAAGACTAATATTTTTCAATATCAGGTGTCTCATAAGTTTTCATTCTTAGGACAAGAAAACGAAATTCATAACCTTTTTAAATCACCATTTATCACTGGCATCATGGTGGTTGGCCGGCGTAATGCTGATCACATTACTCAACTGTTGTGGATTGGTATGTAAAAATATAGGATGCTCTTCCCATATGCTTGATGTGCCTAGGGCATGAAACGAGATCTTTACTTCACTTTTTATCATGAGGGTTAATAGACTGAAATAGCTGGGGCCGAGAATGTCAGATGACAGAGAGATAAAACCTGTATACACAAGGGAGCTGAATGGTCATAGACCATGAGACAGACCAAGAAGACGATTGAGAGATAATATCCAGACAGACATGCAAACACTTGGTGTCACCAGTTGGAAAGAGAAGGCCAACCAGAGAGATGAATGGAGGCGGGTGATATTTGCAGCATTGAACTCCAGCTGTGTTCATTCGTGTTCTTCAGCACTGGAGAACCTGCATCGAAATATGTTTTCAAAACAATTGTAGCCACGTAGAGCATATTTTATAAATTAAAATGATTTTAATTAAAACATGTTTATTTTTCAGGCATATGGAAACTTATGGAACACTCTGCTTTTCTCCGTCAACAACAGCTGTGTAGGTGTCACATTAAAAATAAACAACAATAAAGCAGTTCAGAGTTCTGATTTTCATTAAAAATATATATTCTGCAAGTGAAGCAATGCAAACTGGCATGAAAGAGACACACACATATACTCAACATAACCAGTGTAGCATAAATAAACCCTGTTTAACTAATTTGTTTAACATTTGTTAACATTTCACATAGTTTAACATCACTGAACTGGAGATTTATGCTTGTGTCTTTATGTATGTGTGCACGTGTGAGCACATGGGGGGTAAGTATGTTTGTGTGTGTGTGTGCATATATGTATATAAGAGAGAATGTGTATGTTTAAGAGAGAGTGTGTGTTTGTGTATGTCTTGGCTGTGTGTGTGTGTAAGAAAGAGCATGTGTGTGTGTAAGAAAGAGCATGTGTGTGTGTAAGAAAGAGCATGTGTGTGTATGTGTGGGTGTGTATGTGTGAAAGAGAGAGAAAGAGAAAGAAAAAGAGAGAGAGGGATGGACAATAGAGATTAATACAGATTGATAAACACATCAACAAACACATGAAACCATGTTACTGACTACAGCACTGACTAAGTTTATTCATGTACAAATGTTACACACAAATGAAACACAATTTTGCACACTCGTAAATTAACCCAGTCATTTTATTTTAAAGGATTTAGGAAAACTGATGTATATATTTCTCCATGTAACCATTTCAACAATGGGTAATTGAAACGTTAGTCTCCCCACGGACCGCCCATATACACACTAGCTCACTTCCGATTGGTTGATGTTCAGCCTATCTCACTTCTGATTAGACGACCTTGAGCCACCTGACTTGGCACAAGGTGATGGGTGTGTTCCCCAATGCCCTAGATATAACCTCTTCTATATTTCAGCATTCCAGTGCTTTTAACACTCCCAAAGCATTGACAAACTGGGTCTAACACACAACCCGTTTAGAGAATGAGGAAACCTATATCACAGGCATTCTCTTTTCAGAATAAAAAAGTAAATGCAAGACATCCCAGAAAGCAAACAAAAGTGCGGCACACCCATAACTTCCAGCAGCTTAGACCAGTCCAAGAAAGTTATCAATGGAACGTGATCTACTTTCTGTGGGGAGACTAACGTTTGTTTGGCCCTAGAATGTGAAGCGCACAACTGAAAGATGTTTTCTTAGACAACTCATCTCACAAGTATATCATCACCACCAACCAACAGGTTCTTTACAGAACATCGCTCTCATTGCCGTATGCCTAAAGGTCTCCCTCTCTCTCTAGCCAATTCTCTAGCCCTATGTGCCTTTCTAGCCAATGCAATTTCAATATCTTGTATCCACCTTTGCAGAGAACAGCCTGTGTCTCGTTTTCTGAAAACTGAATTTTGATAACCTTTTTGTTATCTATGACGATAACATGGTCAAAGAATCTCAGCTTTTGGGAAAGGATGCTGTTTACCAGCCAATTCTCCTCAATGCTCAGATCATGTAACACAGTGGTTCTCAACCTCCATAATGCCGTGACCCTTCAATACAGTTCTTCATGTTTTGGCGACCCCCAACCATACAAATATTTTCATTGCTCCTTCATAACTTCAATGAATATGTGTTTTATGATGGTCTTTGGTGACCCCTGAGAAAGGGTCATTCGACTCCCAAACAAAGGGTCCCGACCCACAGGTTGAGAACTGTTGATGTCACATGTCAATGTTTGTTTTTTACTTCTTCTTGGTCCATGGTAAGAACTTTCCTGCAGCATTTCAGTTCAAAAGCTCTGATTTCTTTCTTCACTGAATCACAGTCCATGACTCACATCCCAAAGGGCTGCAGCAAAAATACACTATCTCATAATTTGTTCTTCAACTCATTCGCAGGTTCTGTTTTATAGATTCTTTATTTTGTTTAGTCTCTTACTGTAGCTAGTCTTCTTCTGACATATATCCCCACAGCAGAGAAATACAGTGGCAAACTCAGTGACAGCTGGCAAACCTACAAGGAAAGAGGAAGAGGAAGACACAGGGACTCCTCTAATTCTCTCATATGTAGGTGGATATCCAACATTAATGTTGTACTTGAAAGTAAGTGTAAGGGCAGTAACAGCTTGATTTGTACTGAATTCATATTTTCACAAAAATTTATACAAGTCTTCGGACTGACAATGAAAACAATAACAATGAAATCTGGCAACCAAATGCCATAACAAATTATTTTCTTATAAAATAAAATGATATTTGCAGGAGTTAGTGATTAAAAAAAAAAAAAAATACAAATTATCGGCAGAAATCCATCAAAGGAAACAATTTAACCACAACGGTAAGAGTATTGTGATAAGTCGGCACATCTATAACATGGCTAGCTAAGCCAGTCTAGGTCGTCATCGTCACTGTCGTCACCAAAAAGAGGCGGCGGCGGCTGGGGCTTCAAGTCCTGAAATACAAATAAGAGAGTAGACATTTATAATGTGGGTACATGTCGCGATAAGAGACCCAACAATGAGAGTGATCTCCCTTCCCACTGATGCCTCAATCTGGTGTTGCACCTGTACTTAATTCACAGGGGTTTCAGGCGTACTAAGCAGTATTTTACTCCTTGTTGTCAGCGGCTGGCGATATCTCGACTTCTATGCTGCGAGCGCTTTAAACTGTCCCAAAACATGTACAACTGGGTCTAACCCCCCCCCCCCCCCCCACTACGCAGTTTCAGCCTATGTTTCGTGAAAGTATGCAGCCTCTATTTTAGGCTGCATACAGTCCTGCGACCTAGGATGCATCCCTGTGACATATTAGAGGCGCTATCTCAGATCGAGGCATCAATGGGAAGGGAAGTCACCCTCATCGTTGGGTCTCTTAACGTGACTAGAGTCATAATGTGTTATATGGCATATGGAGTGTCCCTGTGATAATGTAGATTATAGCACACTGGGGTGTTTCTGCATCAGTGTGGACTATGGCAGACATGATCTCTCTAGTAGTGTGGAGTACGGCATGTTATCGCTTTGGTAGTGTCCATTGTAGCACATTTGGTCTCTCAGGTAGTCTGGATTATAGCAGTGTGGTCTCTAGGGTAGTGTGGATTATCCTCCAGCACATGTGATCTCTAAGGTAGTGTAGATTGTAGTAAATGTGATCTCTAGGGTAGTGTGGATTATAGTACATGTGATCTCTAAGGTAGTGTGGATTATAGTACATGTGATCTCCAAGGTAGTGTGGATTTTAGTACATGTGATCTCTAGGGTAGTGTGGATTATAGTACATGTGATCCCTAGGGTAGTGTGGATTATAGTACATGTGATCTCTAAGGTAGTGTGGATTATAGTACATGTGATCTCTAGGGTAGTGTGGATTATAGTACATGTGATCTCTAAGGTAGTGTGGATTATAGTATATGTGATCTCTAGGGTAGTGTGGTTTATAGTACATGTGATCTTTAGGGTAGTGTGGATTATAGTACATGTGATCTCTAGGGTAGTGTGGATTATAGTACATGTGATCTCTAGGGCAGTGTGGTTTATAGTACATGTGATCTCTAGGGAAGTGTGGTTTATAGCACATGTGATCTCTAAGGTAGTGTGGATTATAGTACATGTGATCTCTAGGGTAGTGTGGATTATAGTACACATGATCTCTAGGGCAATGTGGGTTGTAGCAAATGTGATATCTAGGGTAGTGTAGATTATAGTACACATGTGATCTCTAGGGTAGTGTGGATTATAGTACACATGTAATCTCTAGGGTAGTGTGGATTATAGTACACATGTAATCTCTAGGGTAGTGTGGATTATAGTACACATGTAATCTCTAGGGTAGTGTGGATTATAGTACATGTAATATCTCTCTAGTAGGTCAGGGGATCTAGCTGACACTCTACACTTAAAAGAAAGGCAAGATGAATATATAATCAAACTGCTACTAGTACTATCAAGAATGAAACTTTTCACAGGCTGCTGAAGATGGGGATTGAGCACTTATAGGAATATCCCATTATGATGTTGGTTCTTATCTCAATTAAACTCTCACTGGTAGTGTGGATTTTATAGCACATGTGATCTCTCTATAAGTGGGGATGTTCAGTTGTAGTTTGGATCATCTTCTTCTTCTTTGTTTGCCGGCCGTAAGCTCTGGCAGAAAGCCCTGTTTGTTTGTCCATTTGGACTCTGGCTTTGGACGAGGGCTTGAGTTTTGTATGTACATCCATTTTACTGGCTTATTTTTGTGTGCAGCTGGTTGTTCCTTGCCGCTCGGGCAGATGCACTCTGTCTCAGAAGGAAGCCACCAATTAGTCGGCTCCTACAACATGCTTGTTGGGGAGGCAGGGGATCTATTCTTGTCTCAACACAATGGGGCCCCAGAACCCACACAGGAGTTTGACCTATAGCATGTGGAACACATTCTGATAGCTTCAATTATAGCAGATGGAAAACTTTATGACAATGCTATGCTTTGTGCAGAGTGGCATCACGTCAGAGGCCCAGAGTTGTTAGCATCCTTTGGGTAATTTCTCCCGGTCATGCCGGTGTGTTGGGGAATAAGCAGGCAGATAGACTGGCTGGCTTTCACAACTTGGTGGTGAATTGATGTATGACAACTGAGATATTGTTAGGGCCCTTTGGGAATGGGTGAACAGTGCGGAGGCAAAAATAGATCATTACGGTCTAATGAGAATGGCGATGCAAGGATTTACCAGGGGATTTATTCGACACTCAACACTCAGGGAAAGGATGAGACAGATATACAATCAGACAGTTTCTGGTACCATCGGAATTGGAACTCTTTGCTTGCTGCTGAAGATGGGGACTGAGCACTTATGGGAGTATCCCGAGTGCTGTGATGTCAATTCTCAATTCAACATTCTGACAATGCTGATTATAGTAACGGGAAGAAAAAAATTTGATCCCTGATGCCAGCAGGACACACACAATATACACATGACAACTCACATCATCGTTGGCAGGTTCCCGCTTTTTCCCTGCAACCGTCTTGTCTTTGGAAGCTGGTTGTGCTGCTGTAGCTGCTGCTGACTTCACATCTCCAGCGGCGATGACTGGCTTGAAGGCAGACCCTCGTGTACCTGGCAATGTGTTGCCAGTACCGAACAGTGAACTAGGGATATTTATTGAGCAAGTCATCAGCATCATCATCAATTTCTACTTTTTTGCTGTTAAGTGTCATATGGAGGAACAGTTTGCAATCCATTGCTTGATGGTTAGCAATGGCTATTATTATTCCGTATTGATACAGAAGCTCTTTAATGTCATCAGTCTATTTTCTCCTTGGGCGACCTCTAGTTTCAAATCATATCTTTCAACAGCTGTGTTGGTAGTTCTTATAGCTGCACTCTAACAAGATGGCCAAACCATTTGATCCTCTGTTTCTCAATAAATATCTCTCACTGTGCTGTTCCAAGAGTCTGTCTGATAGTATCATACCTCACTTTATCTCAGATAGCTAAGTTAGAGCATTTCCCTCAGGCATCTCATTTCGCAGGTGTTAATTTTATGTAGGTTAGCCTTTGATAATGTCCATGTCTGGCACTGGCAGAAAAGTGTTGGTAGGAGTATGCTGTTTATAATTTATAGAGCAAGTAAAGGAGCTGATTTGATAACAATGACAGTGTTACCAATGACATCAATGATGATGTTTTAAATGGTGAAACTAATGACAGTGTTACCAATGACAACAGTGATGATGTTTTAAATAGTGAAACTAATGACAGTGTTAACAATGACAACAGTGATGTTTGTGATGGTGAAACTAATGACAGTGTTAACAATGACAACAGTGATGATGTTTGTGATGGTAAAACTAATGAAAGTGTTAACAATGACAACAGTGATGATGTTTGTGATAGTGAAACTAATGACAGTGTTACCAATGACAACAGTGATGATGTTTGTGATGGTGAAACTAATGATAGTGTTAACAATGACAACAGTGATGATGTTTGTGATGGTGAAACTAATGACAGTGTCAACAATGACAACAGTGATGATGTTTGTGATGGTGAAACTAATGATAGTGTTAACAATGACAATAGTGATGATGTTTGTGATGGTGAAACTAATGACAGTGTTAACAATGACAACAGTGATGATGTTTGTGATGGTGAAACTAATGATAGTGTTAACAATGACAACAGTGATGATGTTTGTGATGGTGAAACTAATGACAGTGTTAACAATGACAACAGTGATGATGTTTGTGATAGTGAAACTAATGACAGTGTTAACAATGACAACAGTGATGATGTTTGTGATGGTGAAACTAATGATAGTGTTAACAATGACAACAGTGATGATGTTTGTGATAGTGAAACTAATGACAGTGTTACCAATGACAACAGTGATGATGTTTGTGATGGTGAAACTAATGACATTGTTAACAATGACAATAGTGATGATGTTTGTGATGGTGAAACTAATGACAGTGTCAACAATGACAACATGTTAACCATGACAACAGTGATGATGTTTGTGAAAGTGAAACTAATGATAGTGTTAACAATGACAATAGTGATGATGTTTGTGATGGTGAAACTAATGACAGTGTCAACAATGACAACATGTTAACCATGACAACAGTGATGCTGTTTGTGATGGTGAAACTAATGACAGTGTTAACAATGACAATAGTGATGATGTTTGTGATGGTGAAACTAATGACAGTGTCAACAATGACAACATGTTAACCATGACAACAGTGATGCTGTTTGTGATGGTGAAACTAATGACAGTGTTAACAATGACAACATGTTAACAATGATGACATGTTAACAATGACAACAGTGATGATGTTTTGGATGGTGAAAATAATGACAGTGTTAACATTGACAACAGTGATGATGTTTTTAATAGTGAAACTAATAACAACAGTGATGGTGTTTTTAATGGTGAAACTAATGACAGTGTTAACAATGACAACAGTGATGATGTTTCAGATAGTGAAACTAATGACAGTGTTAATAATGACAACAGTGATGATGTTTCAGATAGTGAAACTAATGACAGTGTTAACAATGACAACAGTGATGATGTTTCAGATAGTGAAACTAATGACAGTGTTAACAATGACAACAGTGATGATGTTTCAGATAGTGAAACTAATGACAGTGTTAACAATGACAACAGTGATGATGTTTCAGATAGTGAAACTAATGACAGTGTTAACAATGACAACAGTGATGATGTTTCAGATAGTGAAACTAATGACAGTGTTAACAATGACAACAGTGATGATGTTTCAGATAGTGAAACTAATGACAGTGTTAATAATGACAACAGTGATGATGTTTCAGATAGTAAAACTAATGACAGTGTTAACAATGACAACAGTGATGATGTTTCAGATAGTGAAACTAATGACAGTGTTAACAATGACAACAGTGATGATGTTTCAGATAGTGAAACTAATGACAGTGTTAACAATGACAACAGTGATGATGTTTCAGATAGTGAAACTAATGACAGTGTTAATAATGACAACAGTGATGATGTTTTAATGGTGAAACTAATGACAGTGTTAACAATGACAACATGTTAACAAGGACAACAATGATGATGTTTTGGATGGCGAAACTAATGACAGTGTTAACAAAGACAACAGTGATGGTGTTTCAGATGGTGAAACTAATGACAGTGTTAACAATGACAATATTGATGGTCTTCTTCTCCTTCTGAGTAAAACCCTTAAATGGGCGGCTCGCACACACATGTTGTGGATTACAGCTGTTATAGGGGCACTTTTTGATCCAACACATCTGATTTTAGCAAACACGCATAGTTAGCTGCCTCTTACAACATCTCCCCCCCCCCTCCCCCCCCCCATTGGAGCACAAGAACTCACACTGTGACAGTACTATATGACTTAATGGTACCTCTACAAGCCAGGGTAGAAGAGGAATAACTATAATGTTAAGTAACTCTACACTCAAGTACAGTAGAGGAAAGACTAACCAAGATAGTATGGTACCTCTACATCCCAGGGTAGAAGAGGAAAGACTAAACAAGGTTGTATGGTACCTCTACATCCCAGGGTAGAAAAGAAAAGACTAAACAAAGACTGTAAGGTACTTCTACATCCCAAGGTAGAAGAGGAAAGACTAAACAAGGTTGTATGGTACCCCAGGGTAGAAGAGGAAAGACTAAACAAGACTGTAAGGTACCTCTACATTCCAGGGTAGAAGAGGAAAAAAAGACTAAACAAAGACTGTAAGGTACCTCTACATCCCAGGGTAGAAGAGGAAAGACTAAACAAGACTGTGAGGTACCTCTACATTCCAGGGTAGAAGAGGAAAGACTCAACAAAGACTGTAAGGTAATTCTACATTCCAGGGTAGAAGAGGAAAGACTAAACAAGGTGGTAAGGTACCTCTACATTCCAGGGTAGAAGAGGAAAGACTAAACAAAGACTGTAAGGTACCTCTACATTTAAGGGTAGAAGAGGAAAGACTAAACAAGGTTGTAAGGTACCTCCATACCAGGGTAAAAGAGGAAAGACTGAACAAAGACTGTAAGGTACCTCTACATTCCAGGGTAGAAGAGAAAAGACTAAACAAAGACTGTAAGGTACCTCTACATCCCAGGGTAGAAGAGGGAAGACTAAACAAAGTTGTAAGCTACCTCTACATCCAAGGGTAGAAGAGGAAAGACTAAACAAAGACTGTAAGCTACATCCCAGGGTAGAAGAGGAAAGACTAAACAAAGACTGTAAGGTACCTCTACATTTAAGGGTAGAAGAGGAAAGACTAAACAAGGTTGTAAGGTACCTCTACATCCCAGGGGAAAAGAGGAAAGACTGAACAAAGACTGTAAGGTACCTCTACATTCCAGGGTAGAAGAGGAAAGACTAAACAAAGACTGTAAGCTACCTCTACATCCCAGGGTAGAAGAGGGAAGGCTAAACAAGGTTGTAAGCTACCTCTACATCCATGGGGTAGAAGAGGGAAGACTAAACAAGGTTTTAAGCTATCTCTACATCCCAGGGTAGAAGAGGGAAGACTAAACAAGGTTGTAAGCTACCTCTACATCCATGGGGTAGAAGAGGGAAGACTAAACAAGGCTGTAAGGTATCTCTACATCCCAGGGTAGAAGAGGGAAGACTAAACAAGGTTGTAAGCTATCTCTACATCCCAGGGTAGAAGAGGGAAGACTAAACAAGGTTGTAAGGTATCTCTACATCCCAGGGTAGAAGAGGGAAGACTAAACAAGGTTGTAAGGTACCTCTACATCCCAGGGTAGAAGAGGGAAGACTAAACAAGGTTGTAAGCTACCTCTACATCCCAGGGTAGAAGAGGAAAGACTAAACAAAGACTGTAAGGTACCTCTACATTTAAGGGTAGAAGAGGAAAGACTAAACAAGGTTGTAAGGTACCTCTATATCCCAGGGTAGAAGAGGAAAGACTGAACAAAGACTGTAAGGTACCTCTACATCCCAGGGTAGAAGAGGAAAGACTAAACAAGGTTGTAAGGTACAGTTCAGGACTGAACAGGCAAGACTAAATAATACTGTTAGTTATCTCTAGACACTAGTAACACTATAAATAAATGAACGAACAAGAAAACAAAGGTGAAAATGAACACACACCTGTCGTCATCATCGTCGTCATCATCAAATAGCGGCGGTGGCTCCCTTGAGTCAGTAACTGGTTTTGGAGGTACGTTTAAACTTGCTGCAAGTAAATCTTGCTTTGCCTGCTCAGTTATTTCCTTCTTTCCAGAACTCTCTGGAACTGCAGCTGTCACTTCTCCGCCAGGTAACACTTTCTCCGTCATCACAGACGAATCGTTAAAAGAAGCTGAAGGCAGGGATGTTTCTACTGGGTCTGAACCATGTTGTGACCCCAACGCTGTTTCTGGGCTCGGCTCCACGTCTTTGACAACATCATCGCTTTCCAGCTCGTTTGCAACCTGGCTGGTATTATCTGTTACTAATCCGGATTCACTTTTTTCACCAGTTTTGCTATCATCGCTGAAAAAGTCTTCGTCGTCATCTCCTGCAACACTGTCTACAATTTTAGATGTTTCCTCTGGATTCTCCCTGGGAATATCAACATCTTTGACATCATCGTCATCATCCAAAGAAGGCACATCATCATGAGTTGTAGAATCATTTCCTGATAAATGAGTGGATACTGGTGCACCCAATGTGCCTTCATGTTTAGCCTGAATCTCTTCTTGCACACGACTTTCTTCCAATACACTTTCAGTTCCCAGAACTGATGACATCCCAGGAGAAGTTACCGACCGAGTCACTGAAGTTGCTCCTGCCTGTTTGACTTCTTCCACCTCTCTTTCATGGCTTTCTTCTGTGATGTTCTCAAATTCTGTGTGAAAAACAGATATCCCAGCTGAAGTTACAGATTGCGAGCCTGAAGTTGCTTCTTCTGCAAAAGGGGGAAAGTGAATCGAATTAATAAGGCATACAACCATGTTTAAAAATTCAAGACTGAGGATTCTGAACTTTAACCAAGTTGAATGTTGAATTAAGAATCAACATCATAGCACTCGGGACACCCCCATAAGCGCTCCATCCCCATCTTCAGCAGCAAACAAAGAGTTCCGATTCTGATGGCATCAGTAACTGTCTGATTGTATATCCGTCTCATCCTTCCCCTGAGTGTTGTGCATCAGCCAAATCCCCTGGTGACTCCTCGTAGTGCCATTCTCCTCAGACAGTAATAATCTATTAGCGCTTCGGCACTGTTTACTCGCTTCCATTTTTGCTGAGACATAATTTTTTTTTTTTTTTGTTAGGTAGGCCCAGATACTCAACAAAAAAAAACATGTTGGGACATGGTGAGGCTAGGTTCTGGAGTATAACCAACACTGAGGGGGAAAAAGGTGGGCTTTCAACCAGGCTGCAACTAGTACTGTTAGCATCAAGGGTGCTGCATGGTCCCGAGGTATGGCATCTGCCTCGAGTGCTGGAGGTCCTGGGTTGAAACCCCGGTAAAGGCTGGGATTTTAACGTAGATTTTTAGTAATTTCCCCTGGTCTCTGGGTAGTAAGATCGCATGCCCATGTGCATTGCTGCCTGCGTAAAAAACACCTTGGCAGTTGGAAATTTAAAAAAGAGTAGCCGAACGGCGCTGCCTGGGAAAAATTTGGAGTTAAAAATCTACCCAATTTCAGGAACCTCGCCGGTGAACAGAGTTGGTGCACTGTGCTGAGATTCTTCAGACACTTATGGGCTACACCCGTGTGCCATGATGTTGATCTGTTGACTAAACTAAGCTAAACTAAACTGTTCGTTGCCATCTAAGGAAGAAGATGGAGCATTTTAGGGAATTCCTGAGCTCAGTGATGTCATTCATTCATTCATTTAGAAAAAGGTGTCATCAGTTGTTTTATACTTATGAAGCTTTTGAGAAGGAGATTGGAGCACCTATGGATCTGTCCGGAGTGCTGTGATGATAATCCTTTCTAATCACTAATTTAGAAAAAGATTGTTCTTGCAGCTTTTAGACACTGATATCAAATTTGAACAAAGAAGACACAAACAATAGACTGCACAATTTATTGCCTGGCATATTTCACTGTATCTCGTCAGGTGCATAGTACAGTAACAAGTGAATACCAGGCAATAAATTGTGCAGTCTATTGTTTGTGTCTTCTTTGTTCAAATTCACATCGGGGAAACATTGCTTTGATTAACCGATATCAAAGTCAAACCATGAAATGTGTTGGGAACCCCACCACCATCATCATCATCATCATCAAGTGCCTTGCCAGCTGCCGTAGGCCTCCATGTGGCGCCACAGATCTCGGTATTTGGTGTTCTGGATCAATTCCACTGATGACATTCCACCATGCCAGTGTCTTAAGCCATCCACCATCATTTCTCTTGGTCTGCCTCTGCCTCTTCTAAAAGTGATCTTTCCAGTCGTCAGGATATTTTCCAGTGCTCCTTTTCTCATCACATGACCAAAGAACTTTTTCTGGTCTCTTTCTTATTGTTGTATATTAAGTTCTTCTCAGAACCTCACCATACAATATTTTTTAAGACGGCAGCAGAGACTTATTTCTCCTCTACTTTCTAATCATCATCATGTAGCAGATCCTTTGCAGAATGTCGCTCTCAACATGGTCTGCCTGAAAGGAAATCAGTCTCTTTCACCTCGTGTAGTTCCGTATCCAAGGAGTCACTTATAAAGTGTGCCCATCTTTGTGCTGGTCAGTCCCTGCCCCTCCTTCATGGTACCATGCCTTCTGTTATTATGTTTTCCAATCTACTGTCTCGCCTGTTTGTCCCAAGGAACGCATTATACGTTCTTAGGTTCCTACCTAGAAGCCCAGTTAACCCATGATGGGCCGATTTTATGTCTCTCTTGACTACCCCTTGAGCCGGTGATGCTAAACCCACTGGGACTCAAAAAGTTAAAGACTGGGAGACAGTCCACAATTCACATCGGTATGTTGCTAAATATGATATGTGAGTCAGCAAAATTTGTAGCAGTCTTGACATTCATAGATGCCAGATGACAGGCATCACAGCAGATGCAGAACAGAAGATCACCAAAGCTCATGCACAAGAGACAAGGAAGAAATTCTATCAGACACCCCAATAGTAATCTTGTCATTTTAGATTGAACAGGGCTGATTGAGAGAGAGACAGAGAGGGGGGAAGAGTGAGAAAGAGACAGATAGAGCGGGTGGAGAGAGAGTGAGAGAGAGAGTAGGGGAGAGGGAGAGAGAAGGAGAGAGAGACACACACCACATAAACATTCAAAAGTCTCAACATCTGACCTTCTAAATTTGATCTTTCAACTGTGTTGTCTGTAACCTCTTTCCTTCTAGAATCCTCCACCTCATCTTCTTCTTCCTCTGCTTCACCTCCTCCCACAGCAACTGTATCTTTTACCTCCTCCTTGTCAACTTCCTCTAGATCCTCCTCCTCCTCCTCTTCTTCATACTCGCTGCTTTCCTGTCTTGGTGGTGGTTGGTTGACAAGTTTTAAAGTGGTTTGCTGTAAATATACATTAATTTTTATGTAGTTTCTTCATTCCTCGCCCTTTCATTCTCACGGAGTACTAAATTCCGGAGTACTAAAGTGAATCTTATCAGAACTATTTTTTGGCCAACACTATGCTATCAGTGCCAAACGTGGATAATTACATCCTCCGATGAACGTAAAATTTTTACAACAGAGAAGAAATGCTTTAGAAGAGCTGCAGGTGTTTCAAGGAAAGAAAGAATACAAAAACACAATCAGACGCATGCTAGAAATAAAGCCAGTCTTACAAGTCATCAAGGAACAACAAATGAAGTCCTTTGGACACCTAACAAGAATGTCCTGGTACTATCTGCCACAGCGAGCCACACCAAAATGTTAAAAACGGGTGGCAGACCTCGGAAAATATGGAGTGATGGCATTAAGAACAGCCTTACAGAAATGAACATCAGTCTTAATAGTGCTCTTGGCAGAGCTCATCAAGGAATGTTACATCTCCCCCTGACACTACGTTGAGGTACAAGGTGGAAGAGAAGAAGATGGAGAAGAAGAAGATACATTAATTAATCAATCAGTCAACCAACCAACCTCCCTATGTGGGTTCTGGGGCCCTATTGTGGGGGAAAACAAGAATAAACTCACTGCCTCCCCAAACAAGCATTTCAATTGAGTCGACTAATTGGGGACATCCTTCGAAGATGGAATACATCTGCCTGAGAGGCAAGAAACCACAAATCTGCATACAAAGTCCAGAGGTGGATGAACACCCAGAACTTTCCACCAGAGTTTACAGACAGTGAACGCAATGAAGAAGATGAATCAACCAACCTTTACAGACTTGTAAGACTGGCTTTATTTCTAGCTTTCGTCTGATTTCGTGATTTCTTATTCTGTCTTTCCGTTAAACTCCTCTTCTAAAGCATTTAATCTCTGTTGTAACAATTTTACGTTCATTGGAGGATGTGAGTGTCCACGTTTGGCACTGATAGCATAGTGTTGGTCAAAAAAATACTTTATTTAAACAACTAACTAATCAACAAAACAATCAGATATTAATAAAAAAATAAACTTGTCTATCAACAAATCAATGAATAAAAAAAAAAAAAAATCAACTAATGGATGAACCAACTAATCAGCTAACCAATTTCCTTCTAAGTCCGAGTGTGTATGACTGAGAGGCAAGAAAACAGCAGTCTGCACACAAATAAACCAGATCCGTAAAATGGATGTGCATGCACTACTCAAGTTCTGGAACACAATTAGTCCAGAAATGGACGAACAACCATTATTTCCCACCAAAGTTTACAACCAGTGGACGCAGAAAAGAAGAAGAAAACCAATTAATCAACCAATCATATTTCCACTTTAAGGCTTGTGTAATTAATCATTGCCAGATATGTGGGGTTGAGGGGGAGGGAATAGCAAAACAATCAATCTGTCCGTTTTTTATGAAAAACTGCTCTTTGGGAGCGAGTGAACAGTGAGGAGGCACAGACAGATCACTAGGGTCTGAGGAGAATGGTGTCGCGAGGAGTTACCAGGGAATCTGGCCGACACTTAACACTCAGGGGAAGGATGAGGCGGATATACAACAGACAGTTACTGGTACCATCGGATTTGGAAATCTTCGCTTGCTGCTGAAGATGGAGACTGAGCACTTATAGGAGTGTCCCATGTGCTGTGATGTAAATTCTTAATTCAACATTTTTGATGAAAAACAAAAATCGTCACGATCAACCAGCACACCCAAACGGGAAGCTTTATGGTATAATTGTGACTTCGGTTATTTGCGCCAAATAAAATGGCTACACACCGCTTGCCACCAAGTAGCCCTGAAAAGGACTTTTGCGGTGATGATGCGATCAAAGGAGACAGACCCAAATACTGTCTTAACTGGCAACTAAGTCGTCTACCGGCCAGCCAATGTGCGACCCGGTCGCTAATGTTGCAAAACAGTTTCTAATTCCGAAGCAATATCAGTTGTGCAATCCTACTCTTTCTGCAACAATTCTGCATGCATATATATATATATATATATCACAAATCCATAAAAACATATGGGCCCATTTATAAAAATCCTGCCTACATATATTTGAAAAATCCACATAAGCATACCCATAACTGCCCAGAAGTGCCCTCATATATTTATATATATATATATAAATATATATATATATATATATATATATGATAAATACACATAAGCATATGGGCTCACAAATGCAATAACTCTGCCTGCGTATATGCGAAAATTTACACAATGATATGACCCACAGACGCCACAACTGTGTCTAAACATATACGATACAATCACATAAACTTAAGGGTCCACAACTGTGACAACACTGCCAACATATAAGTGAAAAATCTAAACAGTGTTTTAATGATATGACCTATAGCCACAACAACTGAGTCTAAACATATATGATAAATTCATACAAACATAAGGGCCTTCAACTGCAACAATCCTGCCTACATATATGTACATACCTTGATAACATTGAGTATAGTTGCCAGAACTTCAGAACCAAGATAGCTTTCATCTGCGTCAAACTCACTTCTCAGAGTTTGGAACACTGAGTTCATGATTTTTTTCACCTGATTGGTAAAACAATTTAAAGCACCAGGTTAGTAAAACATAGGCAGATTTAGAGCAACTATTTACTAAAATACACCAGAAGGTTTAGACTATTTGGTTAGTAAAATACATCAGCAGAATTAGAGCACTGGGTTAGTAAAATACCATAGCAGAAATAGAGTACTGGGTTAGTAAATTACGACTGCTGAATTACAGCACTGGGTTAGTAAAACATCGGCAGATTCAGAGCAATGATTTACTAATATACACTAGAAGATTTAGACAATTGGGTTGGTAAAATACCATAGCAGAATTGAAGCACTGGGTTAGTAAATTAGGATAGCAGAATTAGAGAACTGTGTTAGTAAATTACCCTAGCAGAATCAGTACACTGGGTTAGTAAAATACATCAGCATATTTAGAGCACTGGGTTAGTAAAATATACCAGCAAATTTAGAGCACTGCGTTAGTTAATTACTATAGCAAAATTAGAGCACTGGGTTAGTAAATTACCCTAGCAGAATCAGTGCACTGGGTTAGTAAAATACATCAGTATATTTAGAGCACTGGGTTAGTAAAATACAGCAGTAGGTTTAGAGCATGGGGTAGTAAAATACCATAGCAGAATTTTAGCACTGGGTTAGTAAATTATCATTGCAGAACTAGCGCACTAGGTTAGTAAAATACACCAGCAGATTTAGAGCACTGTGTTAGTAAAATATAACAGCAAATTTAGAACACTGGGTTAGTAAAATACCAGAGCAGAATTTGAGCACAGTGTTAGTAAAATACAGCAGTATATTTAGAGCACTAGGTTAGTAAAATACAGCAGTAGGTTTGGAGCACCGGGTTAGTAAAATACCATATCAAAATCAAAGCAATGGTTGAGTAAAATACATCAGTAAGTTTAAAGCATGCTACGTGGGTCAAAGTGATCCTTGTTCTTTTATGTGTTTCATTCAGCAAAGTAAGAGGCTCCTTGTTACTCCTGTGGCACATCAGGCATTTAAAGCTATTCATATTTTTTAAAGAACGATCAGCACTCAGTGGGTGAAGCAGTCAACATTACACTGCCGCCATCTTGACTTTCCCAGACAAAACATGGTGCTCAAATTTAGACTGGATCAACACAGCAGTTAAGGTCAACTGCCAGTAAGGAACAGCTGGCTGAATAGTTAATAACAATCATGCGAAGACCCAGTTCAAATCCTTAGTAAGGTCTTGGATTTTTTCTGTCGGGGGCAGAAATAAAATCCAAATCTGCATACAGTCATATGTAGTAATTACATACATACATACACACACATGTACACATGTGCGCGTGCACGCACACACACACAGGGTTATTCAAAATGATGGATACACTTTCATTCATGTATATTTTCTTGAATATATACTACACAATAATAAGACACACATAAGAGAGAGAGGAAGAACTAAAGTTTACAAACTTACAATAGAGGTTACAGATATTCAATATGGCCACCATCTGCTGTTCGGCAAACATCTAAGCAGCAGCCGAACTCATCCCCCAAACAAAAAAGCATCTCTTGCATAACTGAGTTCACTGGAGCTGTGATACAGTTTTTCGTTAAGCAACTGCGCTCTGGCAGTAGTATTATCAATTTTAGACCTTTCCTTCTCTCTTGTATGTATATTATTCATACTCAATGTATATTCAAGGAAATATACATGAATGAAAGTGTGTCCATTACTTTGACCCTGTATATATATAAATATACATATATATGTATATATATATATATATATATATATATATATATATATATATATATATATATATATATATATATATATATATATATATATATATATATATATGCCCCCAGGGGCGTAGGAATGGTGGTTTGTGTAGTTGTGTGTGTTTTTGCTCGGGCCTGTGTGTGTGAGTGGTGGTGGTGGGGGGGGGGGGGGTTGGGTCACCTCAGGTGTCATTAAAATTTTATATATATATATTTTAAAGTAAAGTGAAGATCCCTTTTCAGGCCTTAGGCACATCGGGCATATGGGATGAGCAAAACCCCTTTTTTACAGATCAATCGGCACTAGGTAGCTAATATGGTCACCATTATGCCGGCCATCTTTACTTCCCCAGGACACACCCATTTTAGGCTAGGTCGACCTGCGACGCACCATACTATGATAACAATCCACCCAGCCGCAGTGGGCTTTGATCATAGTAGGTTTGAATTACGAGTCGGACTCACAATGCCTAAGCCACGGACGCAATATATTTTTAATGGTGCCTATATTGTTAATGAATTCAGATCACAACCCTGTGGTAATAAAAATACAAATTAAACTTAAAAAAGCACGAATAAAAACGCAAAGGTCACCCCACATAGACATATCAGCTTTGAAACAGCCAGAAAAATCCAGCAGTACCTAGTGGAGGTTTAAAATAAATAGGACAGATTAATAGTTGAAAGCATGGAACAGTATCGACGGGAGAATCCAGAGGACAAAATTAATACAAAATGGGAATGTTTCAAAACTAGTATAGAAACAGCTAATGCCATCTTACCAGTGAAAGAAAACAAGAAAAATCAAGTATGGATGACTGAGGAAATTATTAACAAAATGACACAAAGGAAGAAAGCAAAAAACACTTCAGAATATTCATTAATAGACAAAGAAATACGAAATATGTGTACAACTGCTAAGGAAGCATGGATTCAGTTAAAATGCAAAGAAATAGAGGATCTTGAAATAAAACGCAGAACCAAGGAAATACATGCAAATATAAGAAAACTTACAAACAAGGAAAAACGTTTAACAGGAAATGGTTGTATTAGGGGGAAGGATGAAAAAATGTTTGTTGATAAGAAAGATATAATAAAAAGATGGACTGAATACACAGAAGACCTGTTTTGGGACAACAGAGGTGACAAACCGCCAATCCATAATATTCAAGAGGGACCAAACATTTTAAAGTCTGAAGTAGAGAAAGCCATTAAACAGATGAAGCAGGGAAAAGCTGCAGGTCCAGACAACATAACTGCAGAAATGTTAAAATCATTATCTACTTTTGGAATTGATACTTTCACAGAAATATGCAATGACATTTATAACTATGGGTACATTCCCAGGGACATGAAAACATCTGTTTTTATCACACTACCCAAGAAATCAAAATCTGCTGATTGTGAAGATTACAGAACTATTAGCCTAATGAGTCACGTAACTAAGTTACTCTTGAAGATAATACAAACAAGAATTCAAGATAAAATAGAGAAAGAAGTTTCTGAAGAGCAATTTGGATTTCGTAAAAACAGTGGTACTCGAGAGGCCATAATTTTCTAAAGATGCTGACTGAAAAATATATAGAAGTTCACAAAAATATTTATGCATTTTTTATAGATTACAAAAAATCTTTCGACAGAGTGCAACATGAACAACTAATTGCAGCTCTTCAAAACATAGGACTTGATGGAAAGGATATCAGACTTATTAGAAACTTATACAGGGAGCAAGAAGCAACAGTAAGATATGACAACATCTGCTCACCCCAGATAGAGATCAAGAGAGGAGTAAGACAAGGATGTGAGCTGTCGCCTAGCCTTTTCAACTTATGCACAGAAACCATTTTAAAAGAAATTGTAAAATTACCAGGACTGCACATCAATGGTAGAATAATAAACAATCTGAGATATGCTGACGACACAGTGTTGCTAGCAGAGAGTGAGCAGGAGTTGCAAGAACTAGTGGAGCAAGTAAACAAAAGGAGTGCAGAATTTGGATTAGATATTAATTTGAAAAAGACAAAAACCATGATATTCAGCAAAGAAAATAATCAGCTAACAATGAATATCACAGTGAACGGGGTGAAATTGGAACAAGTTAAAAATTTCTTATATCTTGGACAAGTAATAACATGTGACGGCAGAAGTGAAACAGAAGTCAAGAAAAGAATAGGGATGGCCAAAAACATTTTCAACAACATGCAGAAGTTAATGACATCAAGAGAAATAAGCAATACAATAAAAATGAGAATTGTCAAATGTTATGTATTCTCAACCTTACTGTTTGGCACAGAGACAAGGACAATGAACAAACAACTGGAAAATCGTATCAATTCTTTGGAGATGTGGATATACAGAAGATTAGGTCTTATTTCATGGAAACAAAAGCTATCAAATACAGAGGTACTGAGGAAATTGGGAATGAAAAGAGAGTTGCTAGGGGAAATAAAAAAGAGACAAGTTAAATATTTTGGCCACATTAAAAGACATAACAGTATTGTAAAGATCATCCTAGAGGGAAAGGTTCAAGGTAGTCGAGCAAAAGGCAGACAGCGTTACAAGTGGGAGGATAACATCAAGAGACGGACGAACAGCAGTATGAGTGAGTGTACATCAAGGGCAAGAGACAGGGCTTGTTGGATATCCATTGCAACCAACCTTCATTGTGGAGACGGCACCCGATTGTTTGATTGAAATTGTTAATGACACCTGAGGCGGCCAATAACACCCCCCTCCCCCACCCACAAGCACGCACACACACACACAAGCCTTCCTTCCTACGCTCCTGTGGGAAACAGTGTGTCTATTCTTTTTCATTCAGAAACAGGACCCCAAAACCCACACTGGGAACACGGCAACTGATTATGATGATCAACAAAACCAAACCAACAAACATAACGTTGTGCCAGTAAAAACATTTCGATCATACCTCAGTAGCAACATCTGCACTTGAGCCTGCTGGTGGAGCAGCAGAAGTAGAAGCAGAAGCCGTCTGTTTGACGCTGGCTCTGGAAGTTGACAGTTGCACCTTCAACTGCTGAACTTCTTGCTGTAGCTGCTGTACTCTCTGCTGCAGCTCCTGGCGTTGTTCTTTGGCTCTCTCTGAAAGTTCATTTCTCTTTTCTTCCTCTTCATCCTTCTCCCCTTCTAGCTCTCCAATTCTCTTTTCATATCTTTCTTTCATGGCAGCAGCCTGAGTTCGGAGATTGTCGTACTGAAAATGTACAAAGAAACTAAAATAATGACATGATTGTTGTCACAGGCCTGTGTGGCTATGGATGCACTGAGGGTAATAATAGTAACCAATGGACATGTACTGACTTGAATGCACATTCACAAACACACAAAAACAGTGACAAGAAAGTATGACTCAAGGAGGGACTCAAGTTTCACGAGGGGCACATGAGGAGAGTGTCGAGCAACTGGGAGGCAAAAAGCAAGTTGCACTGGAGTTACTGGGAGTTACTATAGACAGGAGAGACGGGGCATAACGTGTAATCTGACAGTTATTCGGTAGTTCTGTAGTTTGCTGAGTGTAGCGACATAGTGACAGTTAGGTTATTGTATCATCATCGATCAGCAAGTCTTTTACAAAACGTCACTCTCTTCACAGCACATCTGAAAGTATCCCTTCCTCTACCCAGCTCTCCAGCTCTGTGTGCCTTCAATGCTAATGCCTTTTCGATATCCTGTATCCATCTTCGCGATTATTGTATAGGAAAGATAGAAACCCGAACGAAAAGCATATAAGCGAGCTTCACAATATAATAAACACAAACAAAAACGTGAACGTTGCGGCTATGAAGCCTTCATCAGCACATACACAAATCAGACAATTCTACACAAATACACAATATCAATTATCTTCGTATCTCAAAGCAGCCAGGTCGATGTCTAGCTAATAGAGTTGCGGGACACGTGGAAATAGGAAAATAAATATCCCTGGGAAAGCCAAGGGTTTCTGTATGTTTGATTGTTTCGTTAATGTTTGGTTGTTTAGTTTATGATTATGTAATAGTTTGACAGTATTCTCATTTCAGTGTTATAAATAGGAAGTTTATCATCACTGGTTGTGTACCGATAGTCTAATGTGAGTAACCTTAGTCTCCTAAAGGTATCCATCGCCTTATTATTTATCTGTATCCTAGCGAGGTGGTTCATAAGGGAGTTGTGACTGCAAAGAAGAAGCAGAAGAAGAAGAAGAAGAAGAAGAAGAAAAAAGAGAGCGATGTCATGGGCAGCGTACCCAGGCATATCAGCTCAATGATGCAGTTTGAATGAGGCCCCCTTCCCCCCCCCCCCCCCCCCAATTTAGAACCATGAAGAGGCACAGCAGTTAAGGTGTAGATTACAGAGGTGCAGGAAGGAGCATGTATCGGAGGCTGTTGGTTTAGACTCAATTAACGCCTGGCATTAAAACCGTAAGTGGCGATTTTGAAGCACTTTGGCAGGGCTTATAACGACAGCCATTTCTTGTAAACTACCTTTTCCTTTCGTAGTTGCATTAAGGCTGATGTGTAGACCCTAGTGGTGTTTTTGGTTGGCTGTATTTAGACAGATACCTCCCCGTGTGGATTTCCAGGCCCTATTATGGGGAAAACAAGAATATACCTACTGCCTACCCAAAAGCATGTCGTAAGAGTCGACTAATTGGGAGCTTCCTTCGAAGTCGAAGTGCATCAGCCAGATCCCCTGGTCTCTCCTTGCAGCACCATTCTCTTCACACCGTGATGGTCTATTTTTGCTTCTGCAGTGTTCACTCTCTCCCAAAGGACCTTTGCAACTTCTAGCTTGTCATGCATTAATTCATGACCAAGTGGTGCAAAACCAGCGAGTCTATCTGCTTCTTCATTTCCCACCACACTGGCATATTAGTTAGTTGTTCATCCTTTACAGAACGTCGCAGAACCTACCCTAGCATTTTGTGGCTGTTGTTGTTTTTCTAAACACATTTTAAACTCAGCAGTTTGCCACTGCTTCCTAAACGGTCAGCTTTCAGTAACACTGTAGAAAACACTGGCATAACTGGGGGGGGGGGGGGGGGAATCCAAAGGACACTAACTAGCTGGGAGCTCTAAAGCGTTGCTTGTCGCTGACCAATGCAATTGGATAAAAGACAATAAAAGTCATTTGACCAAACAAATGAATGAAGCAGAGAAAGTGATGAAGGACCAAGAGCCTTTTCATCAGGTTGTGATGACAGTGATGTTATGCAAAGCACTGGTGGGTCGGCCTAGTGATGATGATGATAAACAGGTGGGGAAAAAAAAGATAAGCACCTTTTCTTTCCACAACTGCATCTCGGCCAACTCGTCCTGCAGCTGTGCCACCTGCTGTTCTGTAGAGGAACCTGAAGATCTCACTGTCGTCAGCTGAAATGTTAAAGTACTTTTTTTATGAGATATCAGTTACGAGTTACATAAGTTACGAGTTGGGTTATATCAGTTATGAGTTCCGTTATATCAGTTATGAATTGGGTTATATCAGTTATGAGTTGGGTTATATCAGTTATGAGTTGGGTTATATCAATTATGAGTTGAGTTATATGAGTTATGAGTTGGGTTATATCAATTATGAGTTGGGTTATATCAGTTTTGAGTTGGGTTATTGTATCAATTAAGAGTTGGGTTATATCAGTTATGAGTTGGGTTATATCAGTTTTGAATTAGGTTATATAGGTTATGAGTTGGGTTATATCAATTATGAGTTGGATTACATCAGTTATGAGTTGGGTCAAACCAATTATGAGTTGGGTTATATCAGTTTCTAGTTGGGTTATCTCCCCATGTGGGTTTTGGGGCCCCAGTGTGAGGAAAACAAAAATAGTCCCACTGCCTTTCCAAAAAGTGAGTCGTATGGGTAGACTAATTGGGAGCTTCCTTCAAAGTCTGAGTGCATCTGCCTGAGAGGCAAGGAACCAACAGTTTGCATAGAAATAAACCAGATCTGTAAAAGAGATGTGCACACAACGCTCCAGTTCTGGAACCCAATTGAAGTCCGGAGGTGCATGAAACATAAAGAACTTTTCACTGGAGTTTACAGCCAGTGAACACGAAGAAGAACAAATGTATAATCTGTTTAACTCTTTAAGGCTCGAGCAATGGTGTGAGTGCTGATTGATAAGTTCCATTTTGCCCAAACAACACTGTGATCGTCAATCGTGTGTGCCGTACATATTGCTTCGCACACGGCTCCGTACTTGTTTCTAATGTTCGGAACTATGATTAAAGTATTCAGGAAAAGTCACTCTAACAATTTCCTTTTACCAACATTCAGTATCCCAAGCCACACGTGCATAGATTGATCGGATTCATAGCTAAATTGTTTTCAACAGTGCATTTTCTAAGTTCATTTTCTAGTGCCATGAATACCAATGTTCCAACCACAATTACAGGTCGCAGAATGCGTCTTTCTGTGACCGAAGTTCTGAAATTGTTTCAGTCAGATGTTTTTAATTCGGATAATGATAATGAAAATTTACATTTTTTTGAAAATGATTCAGACGGTGAATTTTTACTAGCGGCAGCTGATCGATCAGCAGTTGGGAATCTAGAAATTCTGATAAGTTTACACAGACTATGTCCCATTGCTACCGTATTTATGGTGTAAGAGAAGGAAAGTGCTCTAAACAAAGAGACAGTACTATACTATGGCTAAGCTACATTGAAATCATTGCAGCAACAATCTGTATATAACTGTACAAAGTAAATAGTAAATAGCATATGTGTAATAGCCCATTTTTCTGCCATTTATTCATTGAAATTGTGCTCAGCACTCTGTGAGAACTAAGAGCCCCTGAGTGCTAAACTAAACCAGAAATTTATCATAACTGGAATTTGTTAGGAAATTGAACAAACTTTGAAGTGTTGTTCTCAAATTTGGATATTCACTACTCTTGTGGCTGCAAAATCATGATAAGTGAAGAATTAGTTTGTAAAATGTTGTTGATGTGAAATTAACACCTGCTGAATTCTTCTTTCCTATGGGAGTTGAATGGTCACATACAATGAGGCAAACCAAAAAGACAAAGGAGAGATAATATCCAGATAGAACTACAAACACTTGGTGTTGTCAAACTAAAAGAGAAAACTAACCAAACAGATGGATGCAGGTGGGTGATATCAGCAGCAATGAACCTCAAGGGCTCGGAATGCTGAAGAAGAAGAAGAAGATGTCACATAAAAAGTCAATTCTAAGACAATATAAGATGGTTGAAAGGTTACCTTTTTCTCCAGTTCCTCGACCTTATTCATCAAATCCTCCTTTTCATCTTTCAAGTCGGCAAGCTGTCTGTTGTACTTCTCGGCCGCGGCTGACAACATTCTTTCTGACTTGGCTTGCCATTCCCGAGAGATTTCCTCTTCTATCTTGGACACCTACCAGACACATAATGGGAATAAGTAAAATGAGTAAAATCCGGTCTGAGTCTACTAAATGACAAAACAATGTGACTGGATTTAATGATATGCACCAGTTAATTTGTATGCCTGTAGATGTTATGTTTGTTCGGGGCACGCTAAAACACTCAACAACACATTTGTCTCCCAAAAGGGATGTATATCTGGGTCCTGTGAATGTAGTATACCCATTATTTTTTGACTTGACAATTAACTCACTGGAGCATCAACTCTGATCTTCTCAGATGCAAAAAGTTAACTTCTAAATCATTACTTTAAAAAATGGTCAACAAAAATATAGACCAATCAAAAACATACATGTATAATTCATTAACATATTAGTGTGTTTATTTCTTTATTTATTTATCTTTTTACCTTGTTTTGTGTATCAGAATCTACTGACGTCTTCTGTCTGCGTAGCTTCTCTCTTAAATCTTCAATGGTACTCTGTGATTTAAAAAAAAAAAAGTTTAAAGAGAGTTTGGCAATGTCAGGGCACATCAGTTTGAAGATAAAGACAACAAAGCAAAGACCCCTTTTCAACATTTTAATATCATGAAAAGATATCAAACTAAATGAAATGTAGAATCTTCCTAGACTTGCATTTTGTATGCACATCCTTTTGACAGATCTGACTTATTTGTAAGCCTACCGTTGCGTGCTTTCTTAATATCCTACCTCAAACAGGGTAAATCAAAGGTCACGGGACAGTCTAATATTTCAGGGGTTGGTCAATAGGCTGCATGCAGTCGTGGGACCTAGGCTGCACTCTCTCGTGGGATGTAGGTGGGTTGGGGTAAGGGCCAGTTCTAGATGTTTTGGGGTTGTTAAAAGCAGTAGAAAGCCGGGAAACCCAGTCTTACAACCCTCTGAAATGTTGGACTGTCCTGTGACGTCATCTGGGGTAGGATATTACGAAAGAACTGACTGTTGGTTCATCGCCTCTCATGCAGATGCACTCTGACTTCCCTGAAAACATCCCTAATTAGTAAACTTTTATGACAAGAAAGTGCAAAATACATCAGAAAACTTGACTAGAAAGCTCAACAGAGAGAATGAAAAATCCACAAATACAACCAAACATTTCAACCAGTCTTTATCAATGGAATGCTGTTTACAACATAAAATGTTACTGGAAAACTCAACAGAGAAGACAATAGAGCTTCTAAACAAACAAGGTTAAGGAGAAACTAAGAAATATATCATGGAAAGAGAAAAATATCCTCATTTCCTCAGTCCATTTGTTTTCCATTTCAGTGCCTGTCTGTTGATTCTCTGTCCATTTCTTTTCAGGAGTGTTTTCTTCTATTCCTCTTTTTACCAGCTCATTTCTTTCTCTCCTTTCTCATTCCCTCTCCCTCTCCTTCTGCTACTCCTCCCAACATATACTGCGGGTACTGAAGTCAGAGTACGTTCACCATAGCTCCTGCTCAGATTCTGCAATCACTGCAACTCTGAAGCAGATAGCAGAAAACAAAGTAACCAGAGAAATTATAGTGACTGATTCTCAGTACTGCGAAAAGTTCAAAACAGACAAATGTTGCATGAGTGGATACCAAACATCCTCACTTCAACATTACATGGATTCACATGCATGTTCTGTTCAGGACATGTGGGAGTGTGAGGAAATGAAGGAGGGGATTTTTTGGCTACACATGTGATAGCTACAGGAACACTCCAGCTGGACAAAGGAGATATTCTGAAGACCATTTATGATTAAATGCTGATAGAAGAAACACGGTGTGGATGAAATAACAGGTGTAAGAATGTGTGGACGATAGACAGAGACAGACAGACAGACAGACAGAGAGACACAGAGACAGAGAGAGAGAGAGAGAGACAGAGAGAGAGAGACAGACAGAGACAGAGAGTGAGAGAGAGACAGAGAGAGACAGACAGAGACAGAGAGAGACGGAGTGAGAGAGAGAGACAGAGACAGAGACAGAGAGAGAGACAGAGAGTGAGAGAGAGAGAGAGAGAGACAGAGAGTGAGAGAGACAGAGAGTGAGAGAGAGAGACAGAGAGTGAGAGAGAGACAGAGAGAGCCAGAGAGAGAGAGAGAGACAGAGAGAGACAGAGAGAGCCAGAGAGAGAGACAGAGAGAGCCAGAGACAGAGAGAGCCAGAGAGAGAGACAGAGACAGAGAGACAGAGAGAACTAGAGACAGAGAGAGCCAGAGAGATAAAGAGAGACAGAGACAGCCAGAGACAGCCAGAGAGAGAGAGAGAGAGAGAGAGAGAGACAGAGAGAGAGCATCCGAAGATCCACTGCAGACAGCCTCCACTGTGGAAACAACACCCGAGGGACAACTCCACTTACACGACATCCTCTGCAAAACTTTCTGAGACTAAAAAAAAAACACACATCAAAAACTGAGACTAACCTCATAACTGATCTTTGCATCTTCCAGATCCTCTTCTAATTTCCTTCTTTCTTCTGTTGCTTTCCTCTTTCTCTCACTCAGACTCTAGGAAGAAAAAAAAATTAAACAGAATTATTCTATCCATTATTCTATTCTGAAGATAACATGTTACACCATTCTTTAAAAAAAACATGTTACTATAAAAAGCATGTCACTATAACAAACATGCTGCTTTAAAAACATGTTATTATTTTTATTAACATGTTACGATTAAAAACATGTTACTATAAAAACATGTTGCTTTTAAAAACATGTTACTATATAAAAAAAACATGTTATTATTTAAAACGTGTTACTAGAAAAATATTTTCACTAGAAAAATAAACATGTTTCTATAACAACAAAAAACTTTACTATTCTAAAAAATCATGTAATAATAAATACACAGAAATACTGACCTTTTCTAGTGTCTCATTTAATGTTTTGAGTTCTGAAACTTCTTCTAGATGACTTGCCAGCTTGGTCTCCATGGACTTTCTTGCCAGTTTTTCATCTCGAACGCTAGCAGTGAGACTAATGATCTTCTGCTCGTCCTCTGCTCAAGGAAATTTTAAATTTGTACCACGTAAACTCTTACACCTCACTTTACTAATAATTAAATGTACGCACTTCACTATACATCCTCTTGACTAATATCCACGGGTAATGAGCATACTTTGGATCTTTTCTCAAGGCCATGCCAGCGTGGTGGGTAATGGAAGGAACAAGCAATGGAATCAGCAGAGAAACAAGATTATTATTATGGCCTGGAGAGAATGAGGCACCTGGGTGTAACCAGAGGGTCACTTTACTCAGAGGAAAGGCAAGACGGACATATAACCAGACTGTGACCGGTACCATCAGTATTGGAACTCAGCGCTGGCTGCTGAAGATGAGAATGGAGCATGCATGGAAATGCCCCGAGTGCTGTGATGTCAATTCTTGACTCAACTCAGTTCAACTCAACTTTTGATCAATTTGAACTGCTGTCGTTAAGTGTTGTGGGGAAGGACAGTTTGTGATCCACTGCTTGATGGGCAGCAATGGCTACCGTCTTTTCATGTCGAATGCAGAAGCTCTTTAATGTCATTTAATCTTTATTCTTCTAGGGTGACCTCTTTCTGTCACATCAGATCTTTTCATGTGTAGCACCTGCGTCAGTAGTTGTTCTGGCTGCATTCTTACTAAGTGACCAAACCATTTGATCTTCTGTTTCTCAATGAATCTGCTGCATGGTGTTGTTATCACAGTCTTTCTGACAACACCAATTCTTGGTTTGTCTCAGATAATCAAGTTGGTGGTATTAATTGTGTATCTCCCTTCACAGGTGTTTATTTTACATAGATTAGCCTTTGATAATTTACAAGTTTGGCACTGGTAGCACAGTGTTGGCATGACTATGCTGTTTATTATCTGTTTCTTGGTGCCCATACTTATGTTTAGATGTTTTAATAACAGTGTCAGCTAGTATATAAGTGAACTGGCTCACTGGTATCTTGTTTCTATTTCCCGATCTATTCTCCCACCCTCCGAGAATATACATCCTAGATATTTAAATTCTCTAACTTGCTTCTCATAAGTACCATTCAACCCGACATGTAACAGATTGGGAATTCCACTGACTTGCATTTTTTCAATATGTAGTCTGCTAAAAATAAATGTAAATGCTTCATAATAGATGGCACCTATGGATGTTTCTCAAAGATAGATACAACTGGGATCAAAAGGTTTGGCCATATCAAAGAAATATAATGAGCACAGAGGGAAAGACAATGCAAAATATGAAATGACAGCAACAAGAAGAACCTTCAAAAAATGAAGACCAATGAACATAGCATATAAGAAAGAGGAAAGTGTAGATCTTCATACCCACCCCTCACCCCCAGGTCTGCAAGGAGAGACCTAAGTCAAAGTAAAGGACCCTTTTCTATGCCATCAGACAAACAGGGCAGATAGACCTATATTTTTATAGACCGATCAATACCTGATGCAGATTTGAACCCATGACCTAGCCACACGAGATTAAAAGTCTACCAAGTCGATCCATCCTTTGCTGCTTTATATTACTCGCTTTAGATTGCTATCTAACAGTTTGGTCTATTCAACACCCAATTAGTCTATTACTTGCTTACATAATCTACCCAAACAATTCTATATCTGTCCAGCCAGTCTTCTTTCCATGAAGTCTCTTGATACATTCAATCACCAATCAAGTTCCACCCATACACTACCCATCTTCTTGCTGAAAGCAGAGTCTCTCCACCTCCTCCCTACTGGTACTGCTGACAATACACAAACAATTCTATATCTGTCCAGCAAGTCTCCTTTCCATCAAGTCTCTTGTTTTTTACAATCTCCAATCAAGCTCCACCCGCACAAACACGCACACAAACACCCCCCACCTTCCTTCTGTAGGCGGAGTCTCTCCAGCTCCTCCCTACTGGTACTGCTGACACTACTGGTCATCTGCAGCTGTTGCTTGAGCTCTCCCTCTCTCTTCCTGTACTCCCCCAGCTCCAGCTGTAGCGTGGTGATCTGAGCCGAGGCAGTGCTGAGGTCCGTAGCCAACTGGACCTAATGATATAGAAATCATCTGTGATTACTTATTACTGATTTAAGAACAGACATCATGGCATACCGGGCATACCCATAAATGCTGCGTCTCCTGCAGCAAATGTCTAAAGATGTAGATGCTAACTGTTCAAATAGCACACTGAATATAAACTCATCATTCTCTTCCTCTAATATGCCTCTCCTTACCGGATCCACACCTACTTCCCTGTTCTCACATTCTTTCACATGTTATTTTATCTAACTTGGTGTCTTCCATCAGCCTTTGGTCACAAATGGTCTTCAGAATGTCTCCCTTGTCCAGCACAAGTGTTCCCATAGCTATCGCTTTATGTAATCAGAAAATCTGCTTTCTCATTCCTTTGCATTTATGCCTCTCCCAGACAGTATATCCATGGGATTCCCTGCAATGTTGACGCAAGAGATTAGTTTCATCATTGGTAAACTGCATATAGACCTTGACTTGTACTCTTGACAAGTCTAGGCTTTGCCGATATCAGTCCAAGCATATGCCTTATTATTCTAACTGGTGTATCTCGTGTGCAACTCCCCCCCCCCTTCTCCCTTCCCAAATCACTAATGAAGACAGGCCCGCAAACACTTGGTAAGATTCATTTACCTAACTGTCAGCTCATTCAAACACTTACTTGTCTGCCTGCTTACTTAAATACCAACTCAAATACTTACCCATCTACTCACCCACTTAACAACCAACACAACTTTTCATCCATTCAACTATCTACCTATCTATTTGCCAGATCAAATAAAATAAAAATACTAATAGTAGTTTTTGTAGGAGTATTAATCATAGCAGTAGTTGTAATAGTAATAGTAAAAGCAGTAATTGTAGTACTAGTTGTTTTGTAAAAGTTATACTAGTAGTAGAAGTAGCATCAGTAGTGGTGGCAGGGTGGTAGTAGTATTGGCAGTGGTGGCAGTGGTGGTGGTAGTGGTGGAGTAGTAGTGGTGGTAGTAGTGGTGCTGTAATAATAATAGTAGTAGTTTTTGTAGTAGCAACAATAGAAATAGTAGTAGTAATTTTTGTAGTAGCAACAGTAGAAAGGGAAGTAGTAATATTAGTGGTAATAGCAGTAGCAGCAGTAGTAATTGTAGTAGAAATAATAATAATAGCAGCAGTAGTTGTAGTAGTTATAGTGGTCCTTGCAGTAGTAAAGTAGCAACAGTAGTAGATGTAGTAGCAGTAGCAGCAGTAGTAATTGTAGTACCAATAGTAACAACAGCAGTAGTAGTTGTAGTAGTTATAGTGGTCCTTGCAGTAGTAAAGTAGCAACAGTAGTAGATGTAGTAGCAGTAGCAGCAGTAGTAATTGTAGTACCAATAGTAACAACAGCAGTGGTAGTTGTAGTAGTTATAGTGGTCCTTGCAGTAGTAAAGTAGCAACAGTAGTAGATGTAGTAGCAGTAGCAGCAGTAGTAATTGTAGTACCAATAGTAACAACAGCAGTAGTAGTTGTAGTAGTTATAGTGGTCCTTGCAGTAGTAAAGTAGCAACAGTAGTAGATGTAGTAGCAGTAGCAGCAGTAGTAATTGTAGTAGCAATAGTAACAATAGCAGTAGTAGTTGTAGTAGTTATAGTGGTCCTTGCAGTAGTAAAGTAGCAACAGTAGTAGATGTAGTAGCAGCAGCAGCAGTAGTAATTGTAGTAGAAATAATAATAATAGCAGCAGTAGTTGTAGTAGTTATAGTAGTCCTTGCAGTAGTAAAGTAGCAACAGTAGTAGATGTAGTAGCAGTAGCAGCAGTAGTAATTGTAGTACCAATAGTAACAACAGCAGTAGTAGTTGTAGTAGTTATAGTGGTCCTTGCAGTAGTAAAGTAGCAACAGTAGTAGATGTAGTAGCAGTAGCAGCAGTAGTAATTGTAGTACCAATAGTAACAACAGCAGTAGTAGTTGTAGTAGTTATAGTGGTCCTTGCAGTAGTAAAGTAGCAACAGTAGTAGATGTAGTAGCAGTAGCAGCAGTAGTAATTGTAGTACCAATAGTAACAACAGCAGTAGTAGTTGTAGTAGTTATAGTGGTCCTTGCAGTAGTAAAGTAGCAACAGTAGTAGATGTAGTAGCAGTAGCAGCAGTAGTAATTGTAGTAACAATAGCAGTAGTAGTTGTAGTAGTTATAGTGGTCCTTGCAGTAGTAAAGTAGCAACAGTAGTAGATGTAGTAGCAGTAGCAGCAGTAGTAATTGTAGTAGCAATAGTAACAACAGCAGTAGTAGTTGTAGTAGTTATAGTGGTCCTTGCAGTAGTAAAGTAGCAACAGTAGTAGATGTAGTAGCAGTAGCAGCAGTAGTAATTGTAGTAGCAATAGTAACAATAGCAGTAGTAGTTGTAGTAGTTATAGTGGTTCTTGCAGTAGTAAAGTAGCAACAGTAGTAGATGTAGTAGCTGTAGCAGCAGTAGTAATTGTAGTAGCAATAGTAACAATAGCAGTAGTAGTTGTAGTAGTTATAGTGGTCCTTGCAGTAGTAAAGTAGCAACAGTAGTAGACGTAGTAGCAGTAGCAGCAGTAGTCATTGTAGTAGCAATAGTAACAATAGCAGTAGTAGTAGTTGTATTTATAGTGGTCCTTGCAGTAGTAGAGTAGCAACAGTAGTAGATGTAGTAGCAGCAGCAGCAGCAGCAGCCACAACAGCTCAAAATCTTCTCAAAATCTAATCGCCCACCTTCTCCTGCTCTAGGGCCAGGACGCGAGCCTGTGACTGTGTGGCGGAGCTCTTGTAGCCCTCGTTCCTTTGCTCCAGCAGGTTCTGACTCTGCTCCACATACCTGTGTTTTATTGATAACAATACAGATGCAGTACTGACCACAATTTTTGTTCAACTATAAATATTTAATCAAAACAAATGTTTTTTTTTTTTTGGTGAATGACTAGAGACACAAACAATAATTGGTGAATTTAAATCATGCGGATAAACAGTACACATTTCCATGTTATTTACCACACACACAGAACAGGCGTATGCTAAGATTAGCTGAAGCTTTAACAATAAAAATTAACACCCCCCCCCCCCCCACCTCCCCAATGCAGACAGATGGAATTCATTACAAATTTAGAATTACCCTGATTCTTCTCATGACTATCATGAACTTCCAGCATTTAGACAGACAAACAATGTTTTGAGAGAGAACATTTGTATTTCAGTCGAATTTATTCCATTTTTGTGTATCATGATATGTTGATGTAACTCTGTAGTAATGAACTTGGCGAGATACAGTGAAATCTGCCTAGCAATAAACTGTGCAAGGTACTGTTCGTGTCCGCATTATTTAAATATATATAATCATATATAATAATCAAATGACATGTGCAGACTGCAAGAACATCAAGTTACAAGGGTAAAATGAGACAAAAGCACTATACACAACATGGAAGTGTGAACAGATCATTACTGTGTGGAGAAAGTGGTGACCAGGGGATCTAACCCACTATCTACACTCTAGAGGAAAGGCAAAACAGGCATTTATTCAAACCGCTAGTGGCACAATCAGAATTTTCCTGTGTGGGTTTTGAGATGCTGCTCGTCCATCATGAGTGATGGAGACCAGTTTTCATCCAAAGTAATAATGATCAATGATTATGAGTACAAAGGTGGCTGACTAGTCCAATATGAGCTCGGAAAGTTCCTGAAATAAAGCCAGAGTACAGGAATGGATATGAATGGCCAGATCTTTCCGCCAGGGTTTAAAGCTGGTGAACGCAAACAACAACACTTTGAATTTCTTTTGCTGACTGTTGAAAATGAAGACGGAGCACTTAAGGGAATGTCCAGAGTTCTGTGATGTCGGCTCTTAGCTCAAAATAACACAACATAAGATATATTTATACAGGAACAACAGAAAAATATCAAATCAACAAAATAAAAAAAATGTGTCTTCAGTCACTACATTTCAAAGCTAAGGAGATGTGGTTTTACAGATGAATGTGAGAATACCCTGGAGAGATTTTTAAAAAGTAAGGAAGATTTCTTGAAAGAAATTGATTCACGAAGAGAACTGATTGCCCACACCAGAAAGAGACAATCTACATTCTTTGATCATGTGATAAGAAGGAGAAAACTGGAGTACATCGTGACAGTAGGAAAGTTGGAGGGCAGGAGAGGCAGAGGGAGATCGAGAAAAAAGATGCTGGACAGTTTGACACCATACCATGGAAGATCATCTGTGTCAAGTACATGAGACAGAAGTTTGTGGATGGACATGTCTACCAACAGCACACGGCATAGAGTTTAAGAAGAAGAAGAAGAAGACATGCTTAGGAGGAGATATAAGCACTTACTGACTGAACGAATTGTTCAAAGTGCTGTGCCCATTGAATAATTCATCAATTTGACCTAAACATGTTTTCCTTTAAAGTTGGAATGAATCTACCAGGTAGGCAAGGAAACATCAGACTAAACAGATCTGTAAAAAAAAAAATAGATGCACATGAAAAACTCAGACCCTGGAACAAAGCCAAAGTCCAGAAACTGACAAAAGACCAGGACTTTCCACCGTTGTTTACAGCCGTTAAACGCAAACAAACAAACAAACAATTAAATACATTTAAACTGCTGTAGGTCTTACTTTTGATTCTTCTCCAGCAAGGTGGAGATTTTATCGTTGAGTTCCTGGACTTTGTTGCTTTGTTCATACACTTCTTTCTTCAGCCTGTCATTTTCCTGGAGACGAAAGAACTGTCAATTACCATACTGAACAAAATCATTTTTTTTTTTACTGAAAAGACTGCATACCCAGGGTGTACCAACTGGAGCAGCGAGACGGGAAAAACCATGCGTGAGCCAACTGTCGTTACATCAGCTAGGATTGAATGGGAGTTGTTAGCCTTAAAACACTTGAGGAGATTGGAGCAGTTATGGTCATGTCTGATGTGCGATAAAGATGATCTTTCAATGAACAAGGAACAATGAACTGAACAAAATATGTCTTTCTCTAGTCTCTAATAAGTCAAGTAAAGAATGCTCTTCCACGCCTTCAGGTGTATTAGGCATATAGGGCTAGACCTATATTTCATAGACCAATCGGCACTTGATGGGTGGTGTGATCAGCATCACACCAGCCGCCTTTACTTCCCTGTTCTCTACTTCGTACCAACTTAAAGCTGGGTTGACCTGGGAGCCAAGGTTATTACTGAAAAAAGTGGCTTTGTCAGGACCCAAACCCATGACCTTCCAATCCGCAGGCAAGCATCTAGCCACTACACCACGGTGGCTCCCTTAGAGATACATAGAAATGTTAATTTCTACACTGAACAAAATCAATCTTTCTCTAATCATTAACAAGTAAAGTAAAGTAAAGTAAAGTAAAGTAAAGTAAAGTAAAGTAAAGTAAAGTAAAGTAAAGTAAAGTAAAGTAAAGTAAAGTAAAGTAAAGTAAAGTAAAGTAAAGTAAAGTAAAGTAAAGTAAAGTAAAGTAAAGTAAAGTAACGTACCCTTTTTCATACCGTCAGGGATATTGGGCACAGAGGACTAGACCAAAAATTTATAGGCTAGTACTCAGTGGTTGTTTGGTCAGTATCACACCAGCCACCTTTACTTCCCAGGACTTTGGCTGGTACCTATTTAAGGCTGGATCAGCCTGCAAGCCGGGGTCATTTTTTTTTTCAAAAGACTCCAGCTTCCTCAGGACCTGAGCCCACGACTTTTAGATCTGCAGCCAAGCAGTTGTGAGCTCCAAAATACGGGTGGGGGGGGGGGGGCCACATCATCGCCTCCTGTGCAGAGAATGGTACTAATGAAAATTTTTCCGCAAATTTGTAAGCTTGCTAATGAGTAATAACTTCAATCACAGCACTGAATATGTCATAGGCTAAAATTAGGTTGAATAAAAATTTTAATGAAAAGGTTTCGCTGCCTCAGCTACTGAGTTTAGTGCTTGGTGCAGCCCTGTGAGATGTGTTTTCCATGTGCCTTTTATTTGTGCAAAGATTGTGTTGTGGTTTTCAATATGGCCAGTAGCCGGTTTACATGTGAGCTAGTGAAATACCTTATGTAATAATTTTACATGTATATAACTAACTTATCGCGCCTGACTACTTCAATCAACGACAAACTGCATTTCTGGTGACAACTGCTGGCTTTGGCATCTCTAGCAACTGCCATGTGCATTTCCTGCATGTGCATATTTTCTGGAGTGTGACGGGACTAATTATTCACCAGTTTTTCAAAGGCGACAGTGAGGGACATTTCATTTGATTTTCACTGGCACAGGAATGGAGCAAGTATGGGGAAAACCCGATTGTAGGGAAGATGAAACCTCGACTTAGACTAAGACTAAGAACATAATGAAAAATCTATTTTTGACGTGTCTGACACTATATAAAAGCCTACTTTAATGAATGGGTTCGCGGGTCACTTTGCCTCTAAAAAATGGAGTTGCGAACTGAAAATGTTTTGGAACCATTAGTCTACTCGACAGACAAGTTTCTGAAGATTTCACAACAAATGTCAGAATAAGACAATAACCGCTACACACTCAAAAAAACATGAAGGAATTATTTTCAAAGTGCCAAAATGTGCTGTATGCTGTGTCTTACACTATTTAGCCAGACTTTTCAAGATTCTAAGACCAAAAGGAAAAAAAATAACATACCAGGCAGTATTTGAAGCGTAAAGATGACAATCGATTTCACTTATAGTTTTGTTCTTAACGGACCATTGGCTGAAATTATGAACCTGTATTTGATTACTGTTAATCTTTTCTTTGTCTTCTTCTTACCATCCATTGACAGCTAGTTCGGCAGCACGCTCTGATTTTTCGTCCACTTCTGGACTTTGGGCTTGTTTCAGAACTTAAGTTTTGCATGTACATCCATTTTACAGATCTGGCTCATCTGTATACAGACTACTGGTTCCTTACCTCTCAGCCAGATGCACTCCGACTTCAAAGGAAACATCTAATTAGTCACCCTTTATGATATGCCTGTTTGGGGGAAGTGGATCTATTTTTTGCTTCCACAATGAGGCCCCATAATCCTACATATGGAGTTCATCTTTTCAGTTCAAAGTTGTAATGCCAAAGCAATTATATCCAATCTGATAAGAGACACAAGACCTCACAGCATACCTGTACGATTCTGGAGACATTCTGCATGAGAACATTGGCCTCCATAGAAGGAGCTGGCAAGTTTCCTCCATACGGGGTCATCATTGCCAGGTTGTGTGCCCCCAGACCAGCTGTATTCAGCTGCTCCACCTGGTGGTAAACACACATAAATAATACATTTCTAAACATACCTGCAATATTTATACATATTTCTATGGACGTTTCCAGGTATGCATATAAAATTTGTATCATCTTCTTCTTCTTCCCTCTACTCCTGGAATGCCTCGCGGCGTTAGGGCAGGAAGAGATCTCTGAAACGGGCCCTTCTGTTCTCATCGTATATAGCACTTTTCAGTGTCTCTGATATTTCTGTAGTCCATGTTGTGTATGATCGACCTCTGGCTCTGTTACCACTGTATCTGTATAACATTGCTCTCTGTGGTGCCACGTGATGCAGCCTTGTTACATGGCCAAACCATTTGATCTGTTGTCTACCAATAAAGTTCAGTAGTGGTCCTTATCGACTCTCCTCCTGATATCATCCTTCCTAAGTCGATCTTTAACTGATTCACCTAGCATATTATGTAAAGATTTCATTTCTGTCGTGACTATTTTCCTTCTGTCTTCTGAGTCCGTTTGACATTGATAGCACAGTGCTGGTAAGAATAATGTGTTAAACAGTGTTCTTTTGGTGTTCATATTCACATGCTTGCATTTCAAAATTGGTGCCATGTGGTCTATAGCTTGATTTGCTGTACTGTCTATAGCTTGATTTGCTGTACTGTCTAACTAACTAGCTAACTATTTAACTAGCCAGCTAACTGACTAACCAACTAGCTAATTAACTAGCTAAGTAGTCAGCTAGCTAGCTAGCTAACTAACTAGCTAGCTAGCTAGCTAATTAACCAATCAACCAACCAGCCAACCAACCAACTAACTAACTAGCTAGCTAACTATTTAACTAGTCAGCTAACTGACTAACTAGCTAGCTAACTTACTAACTAACAAGCACCAACAATTATAAGACAGAGAAGATGGCGCTATATTGGACACATTCTGAGAACAGACAAACAGAGAATCACTAAACAGACACTGAAATGGGAAACAGATTGAGGAAACGAGGACGTCCAAGAGAAACCCTAAAGTGAACGTGGATGACAGAAGCCAAAGGTGCTGGACTGGATTCCATCCATAACATTGAAATGATTGTAGAGGACAGAACCAGGTTGTGTATCCTTTACAGGATGTTGCAGAACCAACCCAAGCAGCCCCTGGCTGTTGTGTGGTTTCTCTAGGCAAATTTACATCCAGTAGTTTGCCATTGCCTCCTGGACGGTCGGCCCCCTGATACAACTGTCGAAACCAACGCAAGGCACGTGGCCCGCAGCTGGGATCGAACCCAGCACGCCTGCATTATGAAACGTTTGCATCGACTTAGCCACAGAGCCGACGAGGACAGAACAGAATGAAGGAACAGACTGCGAGCCCTATGTGACACATAATGGCACCACAGGACAATGAATGAACACACATTTCTATACAGACATAAAATATTTCTCAAAGTATTTCTAATCGTGTATAACAATTCTTCAAGGACACATTTTCTAAACACAACTTTATGCTTACCTTTAGTACATACAGCTACACACAGACAACATTTATATTCAAATGCAGATACAATACAAACACAATTCTATCCCCTTGTCTTCAAGCACTGCCACACAGCTAGAATGACTGTACTAACAAGAATAATTCTACTAACAGAATGATTGAACTAACCTTATCTAGAATCTTGTCAATCTTGTCAGACATTTTGGACAGCCCAATTCTGACTTCTGTATTCTGTTGTCTGGTTTCCGACAGCAAAACTGGAGCAAGTGCATCTACTGATGATGATGAAGTCACAGTTTGTGAAACAGGTGGAGTATGTGGAATCGGCACTGGGAGCCGTTGATAGCAAAAAACACCGAAAGCCATCAAAGTAGCAAGCAGACAAGCGTGCATTAGCGTGGTCACAGAATTGCATGCAGAAATTTCCAAAAGAGAAGAAAAAAGCCTGGCATTAGCATGTAAACAAATCTACATGCATGGTTGTTGTCAAAACATTAAAATAAAATAGTGTGCTACAACCACAGTGAAGGTTGGCTATCATATATTCACTGCTATAGTCAGTTCCAAAAAGTGGTGATCAACAAATCTGCATGCATGATTGTTGTCAAAACATTGAAATAAAACTGTGCTACCTCCACCGTAAAGGTTGGCTGAAATATATTCATCACTATAGCAGTTCCCAAAAGTGCTGATCATCAAAACTGCATGCATGATTGTTGTCAAAACATTTAAATAAAATAGTGTGTCACCTCCACAATCTGGTAATCTTAGTTTCAGCTTCATAGCAAATGGGTCACCCCATAGTTGCTCCGCTCCTGTGCCATCAAAAAACACACAGAATGTTTTATCACAGTCCCTTATGGAAAGATTGACAGACTGCTGTCTCAGCATATCTAGCATACACACGCATTTAAAGCATACAGTAGCCATCTGAAGTGCTAACACAAACAGTCCAACATTAGAAATGCACTTCATCATGGATGGTAGCAGAAGTCACCAACAGATCAGCAGTGCACACGAGATTAATTTTAATCACATAATGGCACCACCAATATTGTGACAACAAGCCATGCACCATTTTCTGAATCTAGAATTCACACCACCACATTGGTCACAGTTGAAAAACATTCCAAATGAAATCTGCAGCTCACAGTGTCACGCCATGCACTCAACTCAGAAGCTGGGCGAGAAACTATATCCTTTCATTCTAAAAATGGAGCAAAAATGCAACAGCCACCGTCTGGCAGAAGCAAAAAATTTGCTACGGCTCGAAACAGTGGCCGTGCCGAGAGTCCATTTTGACCAGAAGTCCCTTGACTTCTCAGGACTTCTACCAGGTACCTATCTGAGGCTGGGTCAACCTGGAAGCCAAGGTCATTTTTTTTAAAAGTAGGGCTCTGTCAGAATCTGAACCCACAACCTTCTGATCTGCAGGCAAGCATCTGGCCGCTACACCACGATGGTTGCCCTTAAATACTTTGGTTATATTATAGTGGTTTAGAAAGAATAGTAATGAAAGGTTCTTTGAAGAAAAGGTGGGAATTGACCAGCACAAAGGCGGTCACACAATATTTGAGACACCTCAGACACGAAAATAAACAAGGCAGGGAAATACAGGCAGCCGTGATAGTGTAGCAGCTAGTTAATAAGTTAGTCAAGATCCTAACATGGCGGTCAGAACCCTAATCGTACAGTCACGTGGAGATGCATATCATAGAGACGATGTACAGTGTGTAGGGGTAGAATAGAGAGTTGACAGACAGGTCACTATGGTGGACGCATGACTGTCCAGGTATGTGCTGTAAGAGCCAAGGGGAAATTCTAATGGTGACAGCTATTCAGTGCTGAAAGAGTGAACTCTCTGAGCAATTCTCTCGAGGCTAACATTTTTAAAAGTGCCGTATCCACAAGGATAATTGGCTACAGTATACCACTTCTGACTTTGGAAAATTTCATATGTAAGGTCCCAGTCTCTTCCATGATGCGACTCTCTAAAACCAGAGAAATGTTTTTTAAGCGACGAGACGCTCGCCTGTGGATCAGAACATCGTGGGTTAGGGACCTGATGGAGCCGGACTTTTAAAAATAGAAATGACCCTGCCCTAAATGGGAAGCAAGTACAGTCCTGGGAAGTAAAGGCAGCTAGCATGATGTTGACCTCATCCCGCACCCAGTGGTGTTTCATCTATAAAATATAGGTCCCCCCCTATATGCCCAAAATGCCTGAAGACTCTAAAAAAGGGTCCTTTACAAGGGGATAAACCCCAACACTCAAGGATCATGAAACTGTTAATCCCATTCGCTGACCTCTAAGCCACAAAGCTGCAAGATTACCCAGTTACATAGCAATCAGACAATGTAATACATTCAAAAGTCATGCCACTTGCAAAGTAATTCATGCAAAGCACAATACGTGCAAAAGACATGGAATTATGCAAAGTAATGCAAAGATACAGAAAATGCAAAATAATACATGCAAAGTAAGATAAAGACAAGCAAGGTACAACATGGAGTCAGACAAAGTAAGTCAAGGAGACAGGTAAAATAAGACACAGAGACAAGCAAAGTAAGAAATGGAAGACAGGCAAAGTGAAAATGGAAGACATGCAAAGCAAGAATGAAAGACATGCAAAGTGAGAAATACAAGACAGGCGAAGCAAGAAATGAAGCTATGCAAAGGAAAAATGGAAGGCATGGAGAGTGAGAAATGGAAGACATGCAGAGAGAGAAATGGAAGACATGTAAAGTGAGAAATGGAAGACATGCAAAGTAAGAAATGGAAGACATGCAAAGAAATGGAAGACATGCAAAGAAATGGAAGACATGCAAAGTAAGCAATGCAATACATGAAAAGTAAGAAATGGAAGACATGCAAAGTAAGCAATGCAAGACAGACAAAGTAAGAAATGGAAAACATGTAAAGTCAGAAATGGAAGACATGAAACATGAGAAATGGAAAAAAATTTGAAGTAAGACGTGAATAGAAGAAAAGTAAGACATGGAGAGAGGAAAATTAAGACATGGAGACAGGAAAAAGTAAGACATGGAGACAGAAAAAGTAAGACATGGAGACATAAAAAAAATAGGACATGCAGTAATGAAATGTAAGATATAAAGTCATTCACATGAAATCCAGCAAAGTAAGGTAGCTTTGAAAGTCTTATTCTGCTCTCCCCTTTTTTCCCCAATCAGTGGACTCCAGTGCAGGACATTCTAGTAATTCTATTAAGAGGTTTTGACTTTCTAGTAATTCTATTAGGAGGTTTTGACATTATAGTAATTCTATTGAGAGGTTTTGACATTCTAGTAATTCTTTTAAGAGATTTTCTGTATCTTCTCATAACCTCTTGATGTGCTGGAATTTGTTAAGTTCCTTCCCTAAGCTCAGTTCCTTCCATAAGCTCTGTGTTAGTAATTCTGATTAGGACACCCCATAGACTAACATAAGGCCCAAACAAGTGCACTGGCAAATGACTCAATCACTTAAAGAAACCCCGTCCTCATCAAAAATACACTTGCAGTGCAGCTTTCCTTCCTTTCTCTAGTCCCCATCTGTCTTTCAGCATTGTGTTTTGAAGAGGTTCTTGAGCAGGCCTTGCTGTGCGCTACAAAAATGGTAGTATTCATGGTTTCGAATAATCCATCTATCCACCTCTTGCTTGGCTGACCTCTACTTCTAATTCCACTGCGTCTAAGTGACAGGGCTCTCTGTGTAGTACTATTCTGTGGCAGTCTTGACACATGTCTGAACCCTTTTTTTGATCTGCTGTCTCTTGAGGTGAATTGTATTGAAATGCACAGGTTATGAATATATTTAGTTTATGATCAAAATTGTACAAAAATAAGAAATACAAACAAACAAACAAATGACGACACTAGAAGTTGAGAAAACATGGTGAACAATCAAAAAACATGAACCAAAAAAAACATGAACAAACACATGAACAATCACAAAACATGAACAAACAAAAAACAAAAACAGAAATCCCGAGAATAGTTCTCACATACAAACAGACAATCAGTGACGATGACAAACAGACAATCAGTGACGATAACAAACAATCAGTGACGATAACAAACAGACAATCAGTGACGATAACAAACAGACAATCAGTGACGATAACAAACAGACAATCTTTCTCCTTTATCTTCTTTGTGTTCACCAGATGTAAACTTTTGTGGAAAGTCCTGGTTGTTCATCCATTTCTGGATTGTGGTCTTCATCCGGAATGAGAGTTTTGCATTAACATCCGTTTAACAAATCTGGCTCATTTGTATGCTGACTACTGGATCCTCACCTCTCAGGCAGATCCACACCAGTTTCAAATGTAGCACCAGTAATTAGTCGACTTGTATGCCATGCTTGTTAAAGGGGTAGTTAGCCTATCCTTTCCCCCTCCCCCCCCCCTTCCCCACCCAGAACCAACATGGGGAGGACACAATGTAAAACTAGTATTCAGTAATCATTTACCTCCAAATGCAGACAGATGACCTGTCACACCAGCAGCGGCCGCAGATAAGCTCTGATTTAGCAGCTGCAAATAAATGAACATCTCATCAGTGGGCAACAGTTCAGTTAGGGATTGTAGAAATGTAGCTAGCATAAATCAGGAAACATCTAAACCTATTCATAGTAACAAATATATGTTGAATGCTGAATTAGGAATCAACATCACAGCACTCGGAACACTCCCATGTGCACTCCATCCCCATCCTCAGCAGCAAGCGAAGAGTTCCAATTCCGATGGTACCAGTAACAGTCATAGTAACATCTGGAGTGAAACATGGATGTGTCTTATCACCACTGCCGTTCATCACATCCATCGAAAATACATGCAATTGTGCCAAGCCCAGGAACACAAAAATTAGTAACATCAATAAATGCTGATGACCAGGCCTTGATAGCAGATAACAGTAAAAGTAAAAGACCCTCTTCCACAACTTCAGGCATATTGGGCATATAGGGCTAGACATATATTTTCTAAACCAATCAGCATTTGATGGGTGATGTGGTTAACATCACGCTGACTGCCTTTACACCCCCCCCCCCCCCCACCCTTTTCCCCTACCGCATAAGAAAAACTCGATTAGCACCAAAAAAAACATCTCCTACAAAGCAAATACATTCACATTCTATCCTAACAGGGCCAGATGCAACTGGATGCTTGCATGAATGTCTAGGGTAACTTGTTCTAACCTACCCATGGCGCAAAATTCATTTCTTTTTCTTCATCTTCTTCTTCTTTTTTTCTCCTTCTTCTTCTTTTTCTGTGTTCACCGACTGTAAGCTCCAGTTAAAAATCCAGACTGTTTTTACATTTGTACTTTCGCTTTGTGCCTAAGTTTATCACGTACATCCCTTTTACTGGCTTATCTGTATGCAGTTGGTTGTTCCTTGCCACTCAGGCTTCGAAGGAAGCTCCCAATTAGTTGACTCTTACAACATGCTTGTTGGGGAAGCAGTGGGTCTATTCCTCTTTCCCCCCATAATGGTGATCCGGAACCCACAGGATGTAACATAGTTCATTCAAAACGAAGGTACCGTTTAATTCTGCCGCATCTAATGATGTTTATTTCATGCTTTTGTAATAAAGCCACGGAAAGAGGTTCCTTATAAATTTCAAGCAATCTGCATTGTGGAGAAAACACCTGACTGACTGACTGACTGATACTTGCCTGCTGTTGCTGTTGCTGCTGCTGCTGTTGCTGTTGTTGTTGCTGCTGCTGCAACAAGACAGCCTGCTGCTGCTGTAAGAATGAATTGGAGTTCTGGTAGATAGCTAGCTGCTGGGCTCCAGGGAGGTCTGTGGAGGAAACACAAGCATAATAATCCCCTATGGAGTCACCATGGTGTGGTGGCTAGATGCTAGCCTGTGAATCCAAAAGTCGTGGGTTCAGGTCCTGACAGAGCCGGGCTGTTTTTAAAAAAAATGACCCAACCTTAAATGGGTACCAGGTAAATTCCTCAGAAGCAAAGGCGGCCGGCATGATGGTGACCACATCACCAACCGAGTGAATATAGGTCTAGCCCTAAATGCCCAATACACCTGAAGGAGTGGAAAAGGGGGTGCTTTATTAATATCCTACCCCATATGTCACAGGACAGTCCAACATTTTAGAGGGTGGTAGGACTGTGTTTCCCAGCTTTCTGATACTTTTAACAACCCCAAAACATCTAGAACTGGCCCTAAATCCAACTGACCTATGTTCCACAAGAGAGTGCAGCCTAGATTCTACAACTGCATGCAGCCTATCTACCACCCCCTGTAATATTAGACTGTTTTGTCACCTGTGGATTTCCCCTGCTTAGGGTAGGATATTAATAAAGCACAGAAAAGGGTCCTTTACTTTTCTTTTACTGATATTACACTAACCCATGGCACAGCACCAACATGCGAGTTAATGTAAACATTACGAGATCAGGCATGTTTTCCATAGCAACATGGATGTGGGTCATGGACTTTTGCTCAGTCACTGAAGAAATGAATTAGAGTTTTCAAACTGAAATGTTACAGAAAAAATTCAGAGAATATCATGGACCAAGATCTGAACACATCAAGCAGACCTGGCTCATAAACATCATCCTTTCCTGTTCCAAAAGCTGAGGTATTCTGGCCATTTTAAACGTTATGGTGGCCTGGAGAGGACTGTGATAGAGGGCAGTTTCTGGAAAATTAGGCAGAGGCAGACCTCTGTGAATGTGGATACAAGACACTGAAGATACACTGGCTATGAAAAAACATAGGGCTGAGAATATAATGCGCTGTGAAAGACCTGTTGTTTAATATTGATGAACATATAATAAGAAGAATTCCACAGCGGAAGTATGCACAAAGCAGGAGTCTACCGATCATCAGTAGGTGGTTCCCCCTTTCAAAAACTGTTTCAGCCCGTTATCCTATACAATCTCAGGGGTGGGCTGACTTGGGTCATGACGCCAGGCATCAGACTTCTCTTGCTGCATTTTATCGGGCATTCGGACAAGATGTAGTGGTAATTTGCAACATATACTGAGGTCATATATATTGTTGCTGTGGTAGCAAATTGAGTGCCTACCTGCACGACTAGAGTGACAAGTAGACAGCTGGTTCATTGGACAGACATTTATCACAGACCTTTATCGTACAGACCTTGGCAGTTGGCAGTAGCACAGGCAGACACCGATCGGACAACTTTGGCTTTCAGGATATAAAAGTCCTTTTCCACTAGGGACTCGAACCAGTCTGCCAAGGCCTATCCCCTCGCAGCAGCTTTGGCCAGTTGCTTTAGTGCCCATTTACACTAATGTCCTGGCAAGCCCACCAAGTGCTGATTGGTCTATAAAAATATAGGTCTAGCCCTATATTCCCAAAGCGCGTAAAGGCGTGGAAAAAGGAAGTCTTTTTTTTTTTCAACATATGATTTTTTTAAAAACAATTCTACTGTGGAAACAACAACTTGTGCCAAATACACTGAGAAGCAGAAGACTGCATTTCTGGGCAACTTTTTTTAGAAAGACAAAAATAGATATCAACACATCTAGAAGCTGATATGACAGAAAGAGGCCACACAAAGAAGAATATTGACAGATTACATTAAAGACACTCAAGCCACATTTGTTCATTTTTAACCTTCTGCAGTACCCACTGAGAATCAAACACTAAAATTCCTTTGGTCACCAGCAGAAAGTGAAAAGATTTGCATACATACAACAGAGATGTAGTTTCTGAGATAAATGTTACGAATACCTTGGACGGCCAGAGTAACTAAGAACGATTGCGTGAAAGAAGCTAATGAAAGTAGATCTCTATATACAACGATAAGAAAGAGACAAACACTGTTCTTTGGCCACATAATGAGAAGAGAGACATTAGAGAACATTGTGACAACTGGAAAGATCAGTGGAAAAAGGGATAGAGGCAGACCAAGAGGAATGATGCTGGATGGGTTGAAACGATGGAATAGAGGGATATCATCAAGAGAGCTGTTCCAGGCAACCAGGGATCATGATCTGTGGAGATGCATGAGCGCCTATGCCAGTTGGCAGGGCACATGATGATGATGATGATGATGAGAATATGCCAGTAAATACAGTATCTTGTACAGTATGTTGTCACCATTATTAAGACTTTCAAGCATAACTATGAGTGCAAAGAAACAGATTATTAATAGCATATTCATTCTAACATTAATTTACCAGTGCCAAACATGGACACTATCTAAGGCCCATATTCGCAAAATCACAACCTGTGAGATGAGATGCCTGAGAAAAGCAGCCAACCTAACCATACGAGATCGAGTGAATAATGAAATTGTGGGAACGACACCTTGTACTAGATTCATCGAGAAACAGCAGATCAAGTGGTTTGGCCATCTCCTTAGAATGAAGCAAGATCCAATACCACCACAAGCACTACATCTCAGAAGATCAGCTACAAGAGCAAGAGGAGAGCCGTGGAAAACATGGATCGACAACATTAAAGAAACTCTACGCCTTCAGGGCATGACAATAGCCAGCGGCAGCCAACGTGCAGTGGATTGCAAATTATTCCTCCCCACGACGCTTAACAGCAGAGGTGGTTTATGATGATGATGATGATGAAATACAGTATCTTACTTTGAAGAAATGCCGGCTGTTGCTGCTGCTGCTGCTGATACTGTAGCATATCATTAGTGGAAGTTATAACCATGGGCTGTCCATTGACCATGGCATAGCCTGGGTTTGACAACATTTGCGGTTGGGGCTGGGTGAGGGGTTGACCGACTGGAGAGTTGATGCCGACTCCAGAGGACGACCTGGGTTTTGTTGGAAGGGGTGGCTTTGTTTGTGCGACTCCTTGCTGGAACTGAGGCTGCTGAACAAAAAAAATGCATTCTTCCCATAGAGTGAATCACACGGGTGGCAAGAAAGTTCAATTAGTCAACTGTAAAACAAATAAATTATGTTTCAATTAGCCAACTGTAAAACAAATAAATTATGTTTCAATAAGCCAACTGTAAAACAAATAAATTATGTTTCAATTAGCCAACTGTAAAACAAATAAATTATGTTTCAATTAGCCAACTGTAAAACAAATAAATTATGTTTCAATAAGCCAACTGTAAAACAAATAAATTATGTTTCAATTAGCCAATTGTAAAACAAATAAATTATGTTTCAATAAGCCAACTGTAAAACAAATAAATTATGTTTCAATTAGTCAATTGTAAAACAAATAAATCATGTTTCAATAAGCCAACTGTAAAACAAATAAATTATGTTTCAATTAGTCAATTGTAAAACAAATAAATTATGTTTCAATTAGTCAATTGTAAAACAAATAAATTATATTTCAATAAGCCAACTGTAAAACAAATAAATTATGTTCAATTCTTGTGTAAGCTGATCAATCACCCAATCTTGCCTAAACTGTTGAATCTTCCTTTCCCTCACCCCGTGGTGGCTTTCAGATGTCTCTATGAATAAGGTTAACATCAAAAGTCCACAGGATCAACTTCATTGCACTGGGTTTTATCCCATATAGCTTGGCCTTTTTCGGCAGAAAAGCTAGCTGCCTGCCGAGAGCATTGCACAGTGGACGAAGTCTACAGCTCCAGTAACAATTCCCAGGGATCGCCGTAAAAACTGCACTCATGAACTAAAGGGCACAGTGGATGCTGTGGTGTGACACTGGCCTTCACTGATAAATATAGTTTCATCTCCCCCACAATGCTAACTGACCAGACCTGAGATCTTGCTGCTTCAGTATTCTGGGGGTGCCTGCCCATGTGGGAAAAGTTCTGAGTCCCCAGTCTTGAATATACTGCACATGTGGCTGCAGGGTCTGTTGCACTGCATGGCAAGAAGTTTCATGACCAAATAGCAGTACAGTTAAGTTAGTTAAAGATTCTTGTCTAAACTGCTGAATCAAACTAGTTGTCTAACCTGAATTTTCTTTTTTCATTTATTTTCTCACCAGCTAGCCACAATGCTTAAACAACAGCAAATGGTGAACACCATATTTATGCTTACATTCAGTTTAATTAATAGTATTTTCTTATAAAAACTTTGATCAGTCAACCAATCAAACTAATATTTATCTAAACTGATGAATCAATTAATCAAGCTAGTCCTTGCCAAAGCCGAAACTAAATTCTTCTTCCTTTTCTGCACCCTTAAAAAAGCCCCTAATCAGTAACCTTTTACAATATGCTTGATAGGGGACAGTGTGTCTATTCTTTTTTCCCCACCACAACTGGATCCCAGAATCAACACAGGTATAAACTAAATTTTTCTTAAATTCCATGACTTGTAGTGTTGGTAGTCATGTCTATCCACAACTTTCTGTCTCCTGTTGGTAGTCATGTCTATCCACAACTTTCTGTCTCCTGTTGGTAGTCATGTCTATCCACAACCTTCTGTCTCCTGTTGGTAGTCATGTCTATCCACAACCTTCTGTCTCCTGTTGGTAGTCATGTCTATCCACAACTTTCTGTCTCCTGTTGGTAGTCATGTCTATCCACAACTTTCTGTCTCCTGTTGGTAGTCATGTCTATCCACAACCTTCTGTCTCCTGTTGGTAGTCATGTCTATCCACAACCTTCTGTCTCCTGTTGGTAGTCATGTCTATCCACAACTTTCTGTCTCCTGTTGGTAGTCATGTCTATCCACAACTTTCTGTCTCCTGTTGGTAGTCATGTCTATCCACAACTTTCTGTCTCCTGTTGGTAGTCATGTCTATCCACAACTTTCTGTCTCCTGTTGGTAGTCATGTCTATCCACAACCTTCTGTCTCCTGTTGGTAGTCATGTCTATCCACAACTTTCTGTCTCCTGTTGGTAGTCATGTCTATCCACAACCTTCTGTCTCCTGTTGGTAGTCATGTCTATCCACAACCTTCTGTCTCCTGTTGGTAGTCATGTCTATCCACAACCTTCTGTCTCCTGTTGGTAGTCATGTCTATCCACAACTTTCTGTCTCCTGTTGGTAGTCATGTCTATCCACAACTTTCTGTCTCCTGTTGGTAGTCATGTCTATCCACAACTTTCTGTCTCCTGTTGGTAGTCATGTCTATCCACAACCTTCTGTCTCCTGTTGGTAGTCATGTCTATCCACAACCTTCTGTCTCCTGTTGGTAGTCATGTCTATCCACAACCTTCTGTCTCCTGTTGGTAGTCATGTCTATCCACAACTTTCTGTCTCCTGTTGGTAGTCATGTCTATCCACAACCTTCTGTCTCCTGTTGGTAGTCATGTCTATCCACAACTTTCTGTCTCCTGTTGGTAGTCATGTCTATCCACAACCTTCTGTCTCCTGTTGGTAGTCATGTCTATCCACAACTTTCTGTCTCCTGTTGGTAGTCATGTCTATCCACAACCTTCTGTCTCCTGTAAGTAGTCATGTCTATCCACAACTTTCTGTCTCCTGTTGGTAGTCATGTCTATCCACAACTTTCTGTCTCCTGTTGGTAGTCATGTCTATCCACAACTTTCTGTCTCCTGTTGGTAGTCATGTCTATCCACAACTTTCTGTCTCCTGTTGGTAGTCATGTCTATCCACAACCTTCTGTCTCCTGTTGGTAGTCATGTCTATCCACAACCTTCTGTCTCCTGTTGGTAGTCATGTCTATCCACAACCTTCTGTCTCCTGTTGGTAGTCATGTCTATCCACAACCTTCTGTCTCCTGTTGGTAGTCATGTCTATCCACAACCTTCTGTCTCCTGTTGGTAGTCATGTCTATCCACAACTTTCTGTCTCCTGTTGGTAGTCATGTCTATCCACAACCTTCTGTCTCCTGTTGGTAGTCATGTCTATCCACAACCTTCTGTCTCCTGTTGGTAGTCATGTCTATCCACAACCTTCTGTCTCCTGTTGGTAGTCATGTCTATCCACAACCTTCTGTCTCCTGTTGGTAGTCATGTCTATCCACAACTTTCTGTCTCCTGTTGGTAGTCATGTCTATCCACAACCTTCTGTCTCCTGTTGGTAGTCATGTCTATCCACAACTTTCTGTCTCCTGTTGGTAGTCATGTCTATCCACAACCTTCTGTCTCCTGTTGGTAGTCATGTCTATCCACAACTTTCTGTCTCCTGTTGGTAGTCATGTCTATCCACAACTTTCTGTCTCCTGTTGGTAGTCATGTCTATCCACAACCTTCTGTCTCCTGTTGGTAGTCATGTCTATCCACAACTTTCTGTCTCCTGTTGGTAGTCATGTCTATCCACAACCTTCTGTCTCCTGTTGGTAGTCATGTCTATCCACAACCTTCTGTCTCCTGTTGGTAGTCATGTCTATCCACAACCTTCTGTCTCCTGTTGGTAGTCATGTCTATCCACAACTTTCTGTCTCCTGTTGGTAGTCATGTCTATCCACAACCTTCTGTCTCCTGTTGGTAGTCATGTCTATCCACAACTTTCTGTCTCCTGTTGGTAGTCATGTCTATCCACAACTTTCTGTCTCCTGTTGGTAGTCATGTCTATCCACAACTTTCTGTCTCCTGTTGGTAGTCATGTCTATCCACAACTTTCTGTCTCCTGTTGGTAGTCATGTCTATCCACAACTTTCTGTCTCCTGTTGGTAGTCATGTCTATCCACAACCTTCTGTCTCCTGTTGGTAGTCATGTCTATCCACAACCTTCTGTCTCCTGTTGGTAGTCATGTCTATCCACAACCTTCTGTCTCATGTTGGTAGTCATGTCTATCCACAACTTTCTGTCTCATGTTGGTAGTCATGTCTATCCACAACTTTCTGTCTCATGTTGGTAGTCATGTCTATCCACAACTTTCTGTCTCATGTTGGTAGTCATGTCTATCCACAACTTTCTGTCTCATGTTGGTAGTCATGTCTATCCACAACTTTCTGTCTCCTGTTGGTAGTCATGTCTATCCACAACTTTCTGTCTCCTGTTGGTAGTCATGTCTATCCACAACTTTCTGTCTCCTGTTGGTAGTCATGTCTATCCACAACTTTCTGTCTCCTGTTGGTAGTCATGTCTATCCACAACTTTCTGTCTCCTGTTGGTAGTCATGTCTATCCACAACTTTCTGTCTCCTGTTGGTAGTCATGTCTATCCACAACTTTCTGTCTCCTGTTGGTAGTCATGTCTATCCACAACTTTCTGTCTCCTGTTGGTAGTCATGTCTATCCACAACTTTCTGTCTCCTGTTGGTAGTCATGTCTATCCACAACTTTCTGTCTCCTGTTGGTAGTCATGTCTATCCACAACTTTCTGTCTCCTGTTGGTAGTCATGTCTATCCACAACTTTCTGTCTCCTGTTGGTAGTCATGTCTATCCACAACTTTCTGTCTCCTGTTGGTAGTCATGTCTATCCACAACTTTCTGTCTCCTGTTGGTAGTCATGTCTATCCACAACTTTCTGTCTCCTGTTGGTAGTCATGTCTATCCACAACCTTCTGTCTCCTGTTGGTAGTCATGTCTATCCACAACTTTCTGTCTCCTGTTGGTAGTCATGTCTATCCACAACTTTCTGTCTCCTGTTGGTAGTCATGTCTATCCACAACCTTCTGTCTCCTGTTGGTAGTCATGTCTATCCACAACCTTCTGTCTCATGTTGGTAGTCATGTCTATCCACAACCTTCTGTCTCATGTTGGTAGTCATGTCTATCCACAACCTTCTGTCTCATGTTGGTAGTCATGTCTATCCACAACTTTCTGTCTCATGTTGGTAGTCATGTCTATCCACAACTTTCTGTCTCATGTTGGTAGTCATGTCTATCCACAACTTTCTGTCTCATGTTGGTAGTCATGTCTATCCACAACTTTCTGTCTCCTGTTGGTAGTCATGTCTATCCACAACTTTCTGTCTCCTGTTGGTAGTCATGTCTATCCACAACTTTCTGTCTCCTGTTGGTAGTCATGTCTATCCACAACTTTCTGTCTCCTGTTGGTAGTCATGTCTATCCACAACTTTCTGTCTCCTGTTGGTAGTCATGTCTATCCACAACTTTCTGTCTCCTGTTGGTAGTCATGTCTATCCACAACTTTCTGTCTCCTGTTGGTAGTCATGTCTATCCACAACTTTCTGTCTCCTGTTGGTAGTCATGTCTATCCACAACTTTCTGTCTCCTGTTGGTAGTCATGTCTATCCACAACTTTCTGTCTCCTGTTGGTAGTCATGTCTATCCACAACTTTCTGTCTCCTGTTGGTAGTCATGTCTATCCACAACTTTCTGTCTCCTGTTGGTAGTCATGTCTATCCACAACTTTCTGTCTCCTGTTGGTAGTCATGTCTATCCACAACTTTCTGTCTCCTGTTGGTAGTCATGTCTATCCACAACTTTCTGTCTCCTGTTGGTAGTCATGTCTATCCACAACTTTCTGTCTCCTGTTGGTAGTCATGTCTATCCACAACTTTCTGTCTCCTGTTGGTAGTCATGTCTATCCACAACCTTCTGTCTCCTGTTGGTAGTCATGTCTATCCACAACTTTCTGTCTCCTGTTGGTAGTCATGTCTATCCACAACCTTCTGTCTCCTGTTGGTAGTCATGTCTATCCACAACTTTCTGTCTCCTGTTGGTAGTCATGTCTATCCACAACCTTCTGTCTCCTGTTGGTAGTCATGTCTATCCACAACTTTCTGTCTCCTGTTGGTAGTCATGTCTATCCACAACCTTCTGTCTCCTGTTGGTAGTCATGTCTATCCACAACTTTCTGTCTCCTGTTGGTAGTCATGTCTATCCACAACTTTCTGTCTCATGTATTTTCAATCAACTGACACAGATGAACCTCCCTGCCATGATGCCAAACTGTCCAGCATTTTTTCTCTGTGTCTCCCTCTGCCTCTTCTATCCTCCAACTTTCCTACTGTCGTTATGTACTCCAGTTTTCTCCTTCTCATCACATGAGCAAATAATGAAGATTATCTCTTTCTGATGTGGGCAATCAGTTCTCTTTGTGAGTCAGTTTCTTTCAAGATATCTTCATTACTCTTTTTTACTCTCTGTCCAGGGTATTCTCATGATTTATCTATAAAACCACATATCCACAGCTTCCAAATAAGTTTTCACTAATTTACCAACTGTCTATGATTCACCTTTGTATATCAAGATAGGATTTATATAACTTTTAGGAATTCTCTTTCTCATCTCAACTGACAAAGAAAGATTGCAAAAACTAAATGTAAAAACAATGAAACAAACACGTTTCATTACCAGCTCTTCATCGCTGTCTTCAGGTTGTGCTGCGACTGCTCCTTGGAAGGGCAACATGGGTTGTCCCATTCTGGCCATGCGGGAGATCAGTTTGGCTTTACCACTGTCTGGAGACTAAGACAAGAGACAGTTGTTAACTCTTTGAGTCCCAAGGAATGCAACAAACGTTCATAAGTTCCTACCTAGAAGCCTGATGAACGTATGATGCGCCGATTGTATGTCTCTCTTTACTATCCCTTGGGCCTGTGATGATTAAGCCCCCAGCACTCAAAGAGTTAATCCTGTCACTCTGAGAAGACTAAATCTAGTCTTCTTCTTCTTCACATTCACTGGCTGTAAACTCCTGTGAAAAGCTCTGAGTATTCCTCCACCTCCAGACTAGCTTTGTTCCAGAACCTGAGTGCTGCACTGCACATCTGTTTTCACAGATCTGGCTTATTTGTATGCAGACTTGTGGTTCCTTGCCTCTCAGGCAGATGTAGTCCCACTTCGAAGGATGTCCCCACTTAGTCGACTTCTACAACATGCTTGTTGGGGATACAGTGAGTCTATTCTTGTTTTCCCCCACAACGGGGTCCCGGAATCCACACAGGGATCTAAATCTAGTCACTTCCACTTGTGACACAGATGTTGATATATGGCCATGTCTACAGTGAGTCTATTCTTGTTTTCCCCCACAATGGGGGTCCCGGAATCCACACAGGTATCTAAATCTAGTCACTTCCACTTGTGACACAGACGTTGATATATGGCCATGTCTACAGTGAGTCTATTCTTGTTTTCCGCCACAATGGGAGCCCCGGAATCCACACAGGTATCTAAATCTAGTCACTTCCACTTGTGACACAGATGTTGATATATGACCATGTCTACAGTGAGTCTATTCTTGTTTTCCCCCACAATAGGGGCCCCGGAATCCACACAGGTATCTAAATCTAGTCACTTCCACTTGTGACACAGACGTTGATATATGGCCATGTCTACAGTGAGTCTATTCTTGTTTTCCGCCACAATGGGGGCCCCGGAATCCACACAGGTATCTAAATCTAGTCACTTCCACTTGTGACACAGTGTTGTAGATGTTGATATATGGCCATGTCTGCAGTGACCTGTTCTTAAAAAGTGTAGTTAAACTACATTGGTCCTATGTATGGCTGCGCAGTGTTTAAAAGGATATGAATAAATACAGCATTCAAAAATAGCACTTAAGGGGGTTTCAATGGCTTTTTGAAAACCAAGTAAATGTCAAAATTTCTCAATGTCAGAGGTCATGGGGTCACAGCATAAGCCACCCCATAAATTTTGGGTTTTTTAAATACTCCACTTAATGTATTCCAATTAATGCTTTACTCAGTTTTATGTTTATTGATTACCTCTTTATATATTTCAAAACACAAATTTTTATTTCTGGATAAATAAATTTTGGGTAAATTTACTAATGACCCATGTAAGATGATTTCTTCTTCGTTCACCGGCTGTGAATTCCGGCGGAAGGTCAGGGTTAATCGTCCGCTTGGACTTTTGGCTTTTACCTGGACCTGAGTTTTGCGTGTACAACTGTTTTGTTGTTCCCTGCCTCATGGGCAGCTGTACTCCGACTTCGAGGGAAGAGGCCTATTTCTAAGATGACAGTGGCCAATGTTTTGTGTGGGTCGAGACGTTGCCTGATTTTTGTGGTGTCCACTTTGTCTCCTTCTCCGCAGGTATGCCCCCAGAGTACCCCTTTGGGGCAGCCCCCTGCGGAACGGTTGGCCCTCAAGGGAAGGCAGGGGCAGATCATGGGCATTCCCTGCCATCCAAGGAGGCTTCCATGTATGCAGAGCCGGCACATGCCTGCTTAACCTCACAACCATATCAGACCTCCCGCTTGACAAGGGGAGCAGCCTGCGAATTCTATACTTTTGTGACCACACAAATAGGTACATTCTTTTTCTTCGCACGTTAGGTATCTTTGACGAGCCATTAGCCCGACAAAATTTAACATCCTGCGTCAGGCATATCGTTATCTGTTTGGCCCCAACACTCGGGCTAGTGGGGTCTTTGGGTGTGGACATTTGGACTTTTTCCGTTCAATACGATTTGTGATGGTCAGATTTTGAGCTTACTCGTGTCTCGTAGGTTCTAGTTTTGTTGGACATTTAGGCTTGGCCAGCCGATGGATGGTTGCTGTCTTGGTGTACCTCAGCGCGGTGACGACGACACTGAGGGTTAACAGAGGATGTACATGGGTAGAATCTTGCTGCGAGACGCCACCCGCAGGAGATGTTACTCGCCTGTGCTGCGGGTAAATCTCTAGGTCAAGGGTTGAGTCTCAGCAGAACAATGTTCTCTTCACTCCTCAATCTTTTAACCGAGGGTTGTAATTTTAGTTGTACATTCGGCAAGCACTTTACTCATGTTCCTAATGAGTTTTGATAACCTTTTTCACCCTTGCGTTTGGGGGCAGGCTGATGAGAGCTACAAGGACACATCACCTCTGGGGGCCGCCAAACTCTGAGATCCCCTGACAGCTCTGTTAATGCTCATTTGAGACATTTTCCGTGGCGCACGATGAGGACGTGCAGCAGGGGTCTTGCGTGAGGTTCCATACAACCAGAACAGTGAAGGACTGGCGCCCGAGTGACGTACGGCAGGCAAAGAGTTCCAATTCTGATGGTATCAGTCGCACAGTGGGTAGCTTGCCTGCATGTTAGACTGATGGTTAGTTAGCTGCACATCCTTTACAGGATATTGCAGAACTAACTCCAGCATTTTCTGACCGCCTGTGATTTCACTTGTCAGTTTGCCATTGCTTTCTGAACTGTCATCTCTCGATTATCAATGCAAGGTGGTTTGCTGCCAAAACACAGTGATCGAACCTGACACCTTAGAATTACAAAGCAAGTTCTCAATATCTTAGCGACAGAGACTGATGGGTACCGACTCAAATCCTCACTTTGAAAAGACACCTGGCCTTAAGAGCAAAGTGTGCAGAGCAAGCTATGGGGAACCATGAAGGACCTGCTGCTGACATGCGAGTGCATTGAGGCAACCCACCTAATGGTCCAACCTGAGTATACGAAACCGAACACAAAGTAGTAGAAGAAGAAGAAGAAGAAATCCAAACAGAGTATTTAGCCAACTCCTTGCTAACTCAGCCTTATCAGGTATGGATGCTCTATCTGTTTGGCCACTTTATGTAAATAAATCTATTTACCCAAATAACTCGCTCCCTCTCTCTCTCTCTCTCTTTCTCCCTCTCTGTGTGAGTGTGTGCGTGCATGTGTGTACATACTTGGGAAACTTGTTCGTTGATTGATCTTGTCCGACCTTTAACCCCTGGATCGTCAAATTCATCCTGATCATTCATGGAGGTCATTGACGGCAACGGAGCTGGGGATGCACTAGGAGATTCTCCCTTCTGCAGCTTGACCTAGATGTCAATATACAACATTTAGTGTGAGCTTTTTTTCTATGCTCTCAGTGCCAAATGTGGACATTTACATCTTCCAATGAACGTAAAATTGTGACAACAGACATGAAATGCCTTAGAAGAGCTGCAGGAGTTTCAAGGAAAAACAGAATACGAAATCACGAAATCAGACAAATGCTAGGAATAAAGCCAGTCTTACAAGTCATCAAAGAACAACAAATGAAACGGTTTTGACACCTAGAAAGCAATCCACAGCAAGCCACACTAAAACTAGGGTATAGAGCGAGTGGAAGACCTTGGAAAACATGGAGTGACGGTATTAAGAACAGCCTTACAGAAATGAACATCCGTCTTAATAGTGCTCTTGACAGAGCTCATCAACAAAATGTTACATCTCCCCCCAACACTTCGCTGAGGTACAAGGTGGAAGAGAAGAAGAAGAAGAAGAAGTGTGAGCTTTTTGGACACGATGCATACTGAGAAAAATAACAATATTACCACAGGCTGGCCTTCAAAATACCAGCAACCTCCAGACATGAGAAGAACTGAATTTATGAAAATGCCAGTTTGATTATGGTTATACATGCAAATTGAGAAGTCCTAATAAAATGATATATGGTGTGAACTATGAGAAAAAATTTGCTATTTCTTTATTGTTGCTTGTAATTAGTTGTAACTTTTGTATCATCATCATCAAGTACCTCGCCAGCTGGCGAAGGCGTTCATGCATCACCACAGATCTCAGTCTTTGGTGTTCTTGATCAATTCTACTGATGATATTCCTCCATGCCACTTGAAGCCCTCCACCATAATTTTTCTTGGTCTGCCTCTGCCTCTTCTACCAGTGATATTTCCAGTCGTCACAGTATTTTCCAGTGCTCCTTTTCTCATCATATGACCAAAGAACTTTGTTTGTCTCCTTCTCACTGTTGTATACAATGTTTTATATATATATATATATATATATATATATATATATATATATATATATATATATATATATATATATATATATATATATATATATATATATATATATATATATATATATATATATATATATATAATATATATATATATATATATATAATAAATTGGAAAAACAATCACATACCATATACACACAATAATGACTTATTATAACATTCAACACCAATATAATCATACAGGGGGCCGCCTTAGAGCAGTCGATAGGAAACTCCCTTTCAACCAGCTGTGACTCACTGCAGCCCATGGAGGGTGTTCGAAACTTATCCTTTAGCACCCCACAGTCGAGTATATTGGACTTCCGCCGCCCACCTCATAGCGTACCACAGTCGAGTATATTCGACATCTATATATCGTTGGGGAATACGAAGCCTAAACGGAGCTACGCGTGTGACGTCACTTGAAAACTATAAATAACTCTTCTAGAGTGGTTTGACTTCCTCTTTGTCTGTTTTGATTGCTAGGAGGCCGAGAGTAGGTTTGTGTGATCAATTTTTCTGAGCCAGTTCGATATCCATCACCATCCTTTAAAATGGAAGCCATTTATTCTGAAATCTTCATGGATTCTGACTCTGATAATGAGATTTTGGGTGTTACTGCAGCCGATATCAGTCGCGAAGTTGATATGTCTGGAGACATAAGTGAAGGTAGTTCTGTTTCCAGTGTGTCAGATTCTTCGGATGAGGAAGACGAGGTGGTAAGTGGTTGTGCTCCCTCTGGTTACAACCATTCTTGGCTTCGCGACTTCTCTGAAGTTGTGGGACCTATAGGCCTACCTATGTATCAATGTATGCAGAAATCATTTCTTTATTTCAGTTTAAATAATTATGCAAAACTATTCATAAACCAAAAAGTTATTGTGTTTTCCATGTTTCCTCCATAAAAAACGCGAAATGTGAAAAAAATAAGGTGGGAAGCAAGGGAAATAATTTGAATTTTTATTGTGGGGTTACTAAAGGTTATCGGTTCCCGGGGTTCAGCCAGCCTATAGGAAATGGGTACCAGAGTTAGCGATCTGGGGTAAATGAAGGAATGTTGCTGTAGCTTCGGAGTTTCGTGCGGATGGCGACACAGGCAGACAATTTCTTATCATTTGTCCGTATAGTGGCAGAGCACTCATGGTTTATAAGCGTGTGCAATGACGCTGGTTCACATCTCCAGACTTTACCTTTACCAATATAATAATATATAATATAAACATAGCGGATAGCGCACAGGGCAGAGGTCATAGCTCTCCATGTCTGGCGGGTTGTTGCCACCTGATTTAGGTCTTGAATATTTATTAAGCTCATGGTTGAGCCTTCCTTGATGGCATCATAGCTTGACATAATATTTGTATTAGAAATTATCGGCAGTACATGTAACAAAAGAAGATTCTAGAAAGACAGGATAAAACAGAAAACTTAAATATTTTGATCACTTGAAACGTCACAAAAGTTTAAAGAGAACAATAATGGAGGGGTATATGCCTGGGAAGAGAGGAAGAGGAAGGCCAAAGAGAAGATGGGTGCAGGATGTGGCAGATGATCTCCAGATGGGTGTATCGGACGCGGGACATCTTGCTTGTGATCGAGAGTTTTTCTGGAAGGTTGTTATGGGAGCAAGGTTCTGCAAAGGACATGTTACTGACTGACTGACTGACTGACTGACTGACTGACTGACAACAAGCATTGTCTCTCATGGTCTGCCTCTTCTACCGCTGATCTTTCCAGTCGTCACAACTGTTCTCCAATGCCTCTCTTCTCATCACATGACCAAAGAACACTGAATGACCCTATTAAAATTGTATGTGGTTGTGGTGCTCTAATTTGATGAGCCATTTACGGGCAGTCGTTTCTTTATTGCTGATTGTAATCTGTAGTGCATTAAGTATCATTCACAAAGAAAGCCTCTCCCTCTCTCACACACACACACACACACACACATATATAAAGCACACACACACACACATAATCACATACATATCCACACATATAATCCCTCAATAACCACAAACATAATCACATACACAGCCACATAAATAACCACAAACATAATCACATACATAACCACAAACATAATCACATACATAACCATATACATAACAACATACATAATCACACACATAATCACATACATAATCAATAATCACATACATACATATAGTCTTACCCTCATAACTTGAACCTCAAAAACCAGTGTTGAGTTTGGAGGGATCCTCTCCGAGACCCCTTGTGATCCATACGCCAGCGAGGGAGGAATAATCAACAGTCGCTTGCCTCCCTTCTTCATTCCCAGCATGCCCTGATCCCAGCCCTGGACAAAAACAAATCACATTTCTTCGAATTTATATTTCTTTGCATGATATTCTTCTTTTTATTCTTCTTTTTCACGTTCAGTGGCAGTAAACTCTGGTGGAAAGTTCTGGTTGTTCATTCACCTCTGGATTTTGGTCTTGATTCAGATCCTGAGTGTTGCGTACACATCTGTTGTACAGATGTGACTTATATGTATGCAGACTGGTGCTTTCTTCCCTCTTAGGCAGATGCCCCCCCCCCCCCCCTATTGTTGACTCTTACAAAATGCTTGTTGGGGAGGCAGTGGGTTTACTGTTACTTTTCCCACAACAGGGGGAGCTCGAACCCACACGGTGAGCATTATATTCTTATAGCAATGCAGTTCACTAATTTTGCCTCTCATTATCTCGCGCTTCCAAAACTGCTACTATCTGTTTTGATTTTCATGTTGTCTAGTGTGTCCTTCTATCCTAATACTTCTTCCAGTGAATGTGAATCATTAGAATGTCTTTATGTTTATCATATATAAAAGTATGGGACTAACACAGTACACCCAAAAATGCCTCATGGCAAGCGAACTGGACATCCATCTGCCTAATATTTGCACTATATTTTCATAATACTGTTTTGTATTCCTGTTTGTAATAATACCATCCTCCAGTTGTGTTATGTTATATGTTGATGAAGGCTTTCTGACCACAACATTCATTCTGTCAATCCTGATTGCAATATAGTGAAGATCAACAATTCTACTTCTTGCATGGACTTGAATTTGTTTACGAAAGTATGGCAAATTTTATCTTTTCATTGATAGTCTTTCCAGCTAGCCACAATGCTTACACATCCAAAGGTCTTCCCCATTATTTTTTAACAAGGGTCACAAACTGGGCACCCAGGCTGTCTTACATTTGGCCCCTCCAAAAACTTATCTTTTACACATCCGTTGCATTTTCATCCACAAAGCATGTTTTGTTCATATAGAAAAATACATAGCATTAAGGTAAAAGACAGAAAAGAGACAAGATTGTCCACAAGAAACATTACGATGCACTTTGATGAGAGAGGCCAAAGATGCTCAACTGGATTGCATCCATGATATTGAAATAAAAGAAAGGTATGACAGGATAAAAGAAGAGAGGGAAAAGGGAAGGAGGATAGAAAATAATTGATGCAGAAAAGATAAGGTTTTAGGTTTAGGTTTGAGGTTTAAACCTAAAACCTAAACAATTCCTTTCTATGGAAAAGGGAAGAAGATTAGGAATGGCAGGAGGGGGGAAAGAGAGAGAGAGAGAGAGAGAGAGAGAGAGAGAGAGAGAGAGAGAGAGAGAGAGAGAGAGAGAGAGAGAGAGAGAAAGAGAGAGAGAGAGAGTGAGAGAGAGAGTGATCTGGAAAAAGAAAAGAAGAAAGGAAGAAATTATAATAAAAGAGATTAACTCAGTAGGCAGGTACATCACCTTGATAACTTTGCCTTTGCCCACTTTAAACCTGAAGTAGTTCTCTCCGGCTGACTGGTCAAACATCTGGAAGTGAGAGACAGGTGGCTGTATCAACAACAATAACAACAGACGGAGCTGAGCTACGCTCTTCAAGTACCAGAACATTTAGCTCAGCAATTCTCAACCTGTGGGCCATGACCCCTTTGGGGGTCGAATCCTTTCACTTTTCTCAACATGCTCTGTGAGTCAGTTAACAATCACATTACAATGACTGGGTCACAAACTGACAGACTGACCATGTCTGCAATAGTTACTGAATGAAAATTATGAACAGAGCAGACATACATACGGGGGATGGGGGGGGGGGGGGGGGAAACAGCCAAAGACCATAGGAAAACACACATTTACTGAAGTTAAGGAGTAGCAATGAAAATAATTGTATGGTTGGGGGGTCACCACAACATGAGGAATTGTACTGAAGGGTCACCGCATCAGAAAGATTGAGAACCACTGATGCGGCTGGACATGTTCAAAGCAACAGTGGTCTTAGCGAACATAAACAGCATGTGAGAGTATTAGTGTTACATATGAATCAGCACAAATAGTAACGGTTCATTCTTCTTCTTTACGTCCTCTTTTACCGCTTCGGGTGTCGAGGGAGTTATAAAGTCCTGCTTCGTGCTTTTCTGGCTGCTTCGACCACAGACACATCGTGGTGCTGTAGAGTTTCTCTGATGTTATCTTTCCATATTGTTCTTGGTCTACCTCTTGCTATACGTCCCTCTCCC